ATATTTTTTTGAGTTGGTCTCTCCAAGTCTCTTCAAAATAATCAATAAAATTGATTAACACTTCATTGTCTACAAAAAAACTGTTGACACATTAATTTATCAAATTTATCCACTACATGTGATACTGGAACAAAAGCTAAAGCTGTTTTATTTTCAAGCCTAAGTCTGCATCATTCATATATTTTTGACGTATTTCTGGAACGTTTTGTATTTTTCACCATTATCATTGACCAAAATGAAAAAAACAGCCTCTCATTTGTGTACCACGAAAAACATTAGTAAATGCATCAATTAGACCTTGTTCAAAATCAGTCATTATACTAATCAGGCTTAAATTTTTTTCCAAAATCAAAAGTTCTTGAGCAACTTCAGTATAATTCTTTTTTGATTAATTAGGTATAAGTGTAAAACCCAATGATAATAATGGTGTTTTTTTTAATTAATTGTATTATTCTTACTAGATATTATAAATAGAATATGGACGGGGAAATGTCGTTGGGGGAAATATCTTACGGGAAAGTGGATACGGGGAAACGTGTGACGGGGAAATAGCAGACAGGATTGTGTCCATGAATCGAAGATGATATCTCATTACCAGGACTCGGGAGCAGTGTTGCAACTACACACTATGGGTCTGGTATGCAAATCTGAATTTGGGGCATAAATATTTTTTCAAAAAAGTATTTACTTACAATAAATAAAATATGTTAACCGGTGTTTATATTATGGAAGGTAGTAGATCTTTAATTTTAAATGACCTGCATTATTTTCTGCAATTTCTGTTCTAAGAATTAGTATTACCATAGGATTATAAATACTTTAGTAATATAAAAGTATTTATAATCAATGGTATTGCATTTGGTCATTGGCAACGAGTTAGTAGTTGGGTATGTTATTTGATTATAAATATTTAATAATATGATAAATCTGTTTTTTATATTTATCAATTTATTTCAGTTAAAATGTCTACGACCAAATCCATAATAATACATTGTATGGAACCGATGTGCAATGCACAACTTGCACACCCGCAGTGGCGCATTTAAGGGGGGGGGCGAAAGGGGCAAATGCCTCGGGCGGTAAATTTTTGGAAGCGGCAAAATATTCTAAGCATTTATTATTCGATAAGATATTATATTTTCGTTCAATGTTTATAATAAAGACTCGGGTACACAGAACGCAGTATTCACTTTAAGGCACATTTAAAAAGTTTACAAAAGGAGTAAAATTTTACCTAAAAGTGTTCAATGTATGTTAGTATTTATAAAAGAAAATAGTTTAGTTGAAGTATATCCTTATATTGATATTGGTCTAAGGATGCTACTATGTATGTACAGTGTACATTGTACACCTTCAAGTAATTGTTCAACGGAAAAATCATTTTCCATATTAAAAAGGGTCAAAACTTATTTAAGATCAACAACGGGAGAAAATCGTCTTAATTAATTAACAACTCTCAACATTGAAGCTGATTTAACGAAAACTATTAATTTTAATGATATTATTGAACATTTTTCTTCTTAAAAGTCAAGAAAAAAATTATAAGCTATCGATTATTTTATTATATATAATTAATAATAAATATAATATATTTAATCTAATAAAAAACCATGTATTGTTAATCATTGTATATTTAATAAGTGTTGATTCCATTTTCTATATTTAATATATATATATATATATATTAAGAAAGGAATATTCACTTAGAAGAAAAAAATTAGGTTAACGTTAGGATATGTATGACTAAAAAATTATCTAATACAATATCGTAAAACAACTGATTTATAATTTGTTTCACACAATTAATTTTTTTATTGCTTAACTTTAATTTATTTATATATATATATTTTTTTTTTTTGGTAAGGGGGAAGGGCGGAAAAATTATTTTGCCCCGGGGCGCGTATATTATAAATGCGCCACTGCACACCCGGTAGTTGCGGTACTGTTCGGGAGTTAAAGCATTTGCTTATTTTTATGGATTGACTTAAAATGTAGCAGAGTGCTATAGAAGTGTATGTCAAGTTATAACAGTGGCGTACCTGTGGGGGGAGGGGGGAGGGTCATTTGTCCCGCTGGAGAAGTTTTTTGATACCATAGTGCAAATTAATTGTTCAGCTTAAATAATGTAAATTATAAATATTTTTAATTTTCACTGATTATAATCGTGTTTGATATCAAGTTTTTGATATCACTCATCAATGTAATATAAAATATCAATATTCAACCAAATTAGGATTAGGAGTGATGGCCCCATATAGTCACTATTTTATAATGTGGTTATCATTGATATCAAGTGATCAATATGAGTTTTAAGTATTTAGTAATAATTTATAATAAAATTTCAGATTATATTATAACTATAAAAATTGTACAATTAATTTACGTTCCCCCCAAAAATGTTTCACAGGTACGCCACTAAGTTATAACTCGTACAATTATGAAATTTGAAAGTGCCTTTTTTTGCTTTTTTCAGTAATTTTAAAAAAAAATGCTTATTTCCAGTCTTTCTGATTATTTATGCTTATTTGACCAGTTTTTTTTACGTTTTTATAGTTTTTTCCTGCCATGCAAAGTCGTTTTTGATAGAAATAAAATTAAAAATAATCCTTATCTTATCTACGTTGTCACGTAGTTCATCGCTGTCCAAGACATCGTTGTAGGGTAAACAAAGATATTCCAACGCTGAAAATATAACGTCAGAATGATCAAGAATAGAGAGAATAGTTTACATTTAGTAGTTTTACATTTTATTTTTCAGGAAAATCCCTTAGAAAATCCATAAATCCTTAAAGTCTTGAAAAGAAGATTTATTTTTATTTTATTTGATTGATTTTTTAGTAAGAATTATAGTTTTTTTTTTTTTTAGTAAATATTTTTGCTTCATTTTAAATTTTTTAAATGCTTATTTTAGTACTTATATTGATATTTTTAAGCGCTTATTTTAATGATTTTAAGTCCCGAGCCCTGCTCATTACTATGCAGATAACTTATAACTGTATTTTTATTATTAACATTTTTAACTTAACAAAAAAATATTTAAAAAAAAAAAAAACTATAGTTAATACCATTATATTTAAAATAAAAAAATGTATTTTCCTATTTTTGTTAATTAATTTATTAATTTAAAGTAAATAAAAAAAACAGTGATAGTCGCCTCCTCGTGGTGTTCTCTGGGTAATGCTAAATGACTATCATAAAAATAATTTTTGTATTGGACACAATTTACTATACAGAAATGTATATCCTGAAAAATACCGGGCGCTATTTAAAATTGTTTTCCTTCATAATTTACTTTTGCTCTAATAAATAATTATATTGACAATGATGTTGCACAGTTTGGAGTGATTTTTCAGCAACAACAAATCGAACCACTATAGTTGTGAAAGTTTGCACTCAAAATTAAATGCATTTCATCATTCGGGACATCCAAATATTTTTATTCTTATGGCCACTCTTTTGGGAATACAATCTGATACATACATAAAATTAAGAAGTAAGTTAAATAAAATAATAAAAGTATTTTTAAAACATTACCTATTATTAAAAACAATGTAAGCAATCACACACTTTTTTGGGAGACTACACAGCCAACCTCTACGTGGTGTCTCCTCGGTGACGCTAATAGACTGAAGGAATTCGACTCGAATAACCTAACAATATTGGTCGGACTCAACTACAATAACCCAAAAATATTTGCGGGACTCAATTCAACGTCAGCCATTTATACGATAAATTGTAATAGATATTACTCGCAGCTTTAACAGTTTTACATATTTTACTTAAAACAGTTAAAAATTAAATGAAAGAGCTTAGATAACATATATTAGTATATACCTATAGGTTCTCTTATTTTACCCGTGTTGACCGACATGATTTACATTTATACCTATACAACAGTGGTTGTCAACCTTTTTGGGTTCACGGCTCCTATAGATTTTGAAATAAAATATACGGCTCCCATACGAACATTTAAATTCTATTTAAATTCTATCTATTTTAAAATAGATGAGATTAGAGGCGAATCATTAAGTACCTACCTAATTGTAAGTAGTAATCGAAATATGCTATTTCTCGATATCGCCAACACGGTTATCGACGGCCGATCTGTCTCACACACGCAACATGTAATATGTATTGGTGCGCGGAAATGTTATTTTTAGTTTTTATTGCGAATGCGGCTCCCTTGATAATAACCGGCGACGCCTCTGGAAGCCGCGACGCACAGGTTGAAAATCACTGCTATATATTATAGAGATAGGTAAGTAGGTAATATGAACATTCAAATTAATTTATTTTATTATTATAAAAGAAGTTTCTGTAACCAGTGTAAATCGTTTGAGTTAATAAATAACAGAAAAGAAAGTATTTACTTAAAAATTATGAACTGCATTTCTACAAAATTACCCATATGCATATGTATCAACATTTTTTAGATCTTGTATAATGTACAAGGTAATTATACTTGTTCACATTATTTTTCATAAATTTGAATATTCTGTCTTTTTAAGTTGCTGGTTCATTATGTTATCGAAAACTGTATAAACATAATGTTGAAATAATGTGCTGTACGAAGTGTACATATTTTATTAAATTAATAGAATAAACATCGTAGCTATTATAAAAATTAGTTATGATAATATTTCATATCTATTAAGAAAAACCGCGAAAAATATATAACCAAAATTTGATTGCAGTTCTGCATGATACATATTTGCATCGCGCATTTTCAAAGCACACAGTATAATACACTTCACGGTATAGTGTGAACTCGGCTTTATAAACGAAAGTTATGATATCTACCTATTACTGTTGTTGCTGTTGACCAATACTTACGCCGTCGTACTAGCTGTTAGTTGACGACATCTTGACGAATGTCTAAGTGTACACCCAACTTTGATATGGATTCTAAATGATAAATGTTATCTTTCATTTGAATTTTGAATATGTAATAAATACATAGATGTTCGGCAATGTGTTCTATGGATAATAAGTAGGTATGTTAGTTTCACAATTACAATATCTTTAATCGTATAGTGTAGCACTACAGCCATGGTTTATAGATTTAAGTCTATAATCTACAAACCTTACAGTGTAGCGTCGATTGGATCCATAGTAATTTCAATTATAGATAATATATTATCCTTGAGTTTACTTATTAATTAGGTACTGATAAAGAAGTCAGAATTACGCTTAACGTCGAGTGTACAGTAAAATCGATATCAACCTTACATTACAGATTACATTAAATTTGGCTACATACTACATAATATATTTCTTGTTAAATTTGTTTGATTAACTATCCGTTGATTGGTTATTCATTGTAAATCATTAAAATAAAAGTTTTCATTGCTAATAGTTCCAACGCGAAAAGGATTTGATAATGTTTCCAACACACAAACTACATTGGAAAAAAAATGGTAAGGTTTTTTAATATATCTTTAATATCTTTAATATATTAGTCGGACTGATCTCAGGTGTAGTGTTCTAGGCGGTATCCGGATATCATACCACAATTAATTTACCGCGCGACAATTCACCGTCAACATTTCACCGCATTTACAACTCACCGCGCGTACATATGTATACATTTCTTATATGATGGGCCATTAAGTTTATTCTACTGATACAAATTGATTTTCTTATCCAAAATTCTAAATTTAAAAATCACCAGATTGGCATACATGTTATACATATATATGATTATTGAATTATTGTGTCGGCATCGTCCAGTACATGTATCAACGTTTACGAGAGTGTTTCATTTTATAGTATGAATAATATATCATATATTAAAAGTGGACAGGATAAAGATAAATTAAAATTAATATATACTTGAAAAACAAGGTTTAAATGAATTAATATGGAAGTGTGAAAAATATCAGAAGATAAAATGTAAATAATTATACTATTATGTTATTATTTACCATTTAATAAATTGTACTATATCCATGACAAAATGTAATTAGTGAATTGTAAATATGGTTAATAGTAGCACAGTGAATTATCACGCGGTGAATTATCCGCAATATGTTCTTGGCGCTTTACAAAAATTATCTATAATTTGGAGTGGCTTGTTGGGTATTACAGATTAACTCCACTGATTTAAAATAATTGAGCTTTATGAAACACAGTATATCTGTAAATAGTTGTATTTAATGTGATCTTGTATTGTTGCTTTATTATCTAGGTAGTCATGCTTTATTATTATGTTGATTTAATGAAGGTATACAATTTAGTTTGTGAAAATTTTTATCTAAATAACTGATAATGACTATATGGTAAGTACTACTTTGCCATCAGATTCAAATCTATTGTTTTGGATTATATTTGGTTTAACAAACAATCGCTGTCCAAATCTTAAATTATTCAGTTCAATCGTCTTCACATGGATCCTTATCTTTTACTTTCTCATGCCTTTAAATTAAAACTTAAAGATTCCCCTTTTTGTAAACTTCATAGAGAGGAAATTATATGTGGTTTATATCACATCCTCTGTCCTTCGCTATCCACAAAACATCTTTTAATTATCCATCTAACTTCCTTAAACACTTCTTTTAATTTTTTTGCCATTCTAAAATCTAATTCTGATCAGGTTATAATTTTTATTATCTCATTTATCCAGGAGGCTGGTTTTGTCATTTAAATATTTGTATTTCAAACTATATTATTTCAAATTACTATATTTTTCTTGTTGTGTTACTATTATTGTATTATTATTATTATATTATTATAAATATTATATTTTATATTTCAAAAAACATATCAAAAAATGCATATTTTTGAATAATTCTTAATTTTTAGATTTAAGAGGTCTTTGCATATTTGTCCGAATGAACATTTTTTGTAAAAAAGTAAAATAAAAGTGTATATTTTTAAGGCAATTTTTCTTCTTTTTTAAGCGCATAAGTGCATGTATATTTAGTACTTTTTAAGAAAAATTCCGAGCCCAAGAGATAATGTATGTACAATGTACATAATAAAACAGGTGAAAAAAGGTTAAATGGATTAACATTGTTAAATGTACATAGAGATATAGAAGTTAATTGTGAAGATATTCTTAACATAATGGCTAAAACTTAACGAAAATTAGATTTAGTTATGTGATTGTTGTTGTATATTATAAGTCTTTCATAGTAAAATTTCATTTGTTTATGGAAAAAAAAGTTCTGATTTTCAAAAACACCCCCCAAAACTTTTTTCGTCACTGGTAATCAGGCCTGTATTTAGAGGGAGCACGGGTAGGCACATGTCTGGGGGCGTCAAGTCTCAGGGGCGGCAAAATATTTTAGCAAAATTAATTTTAAAAATGATGTACCTAATGAAAAAAAAATAAAACCATATAATAAAGAAAATAGTATGTTTTATTATGTTATAATTTTTTTAATTTGTTAATTAAGAAAAGTATTAAACGATTTTGATTTATAAGTTATATTTTAATATTAAAGAATCTCGATTATGGACGAAATAATATATGTTATATTATTATAATTTATTTTTTTTTCTGAGGGGGGGGCTAATAAAATAATATGCCCGGGGGCGTCAAATTTTTAAATACGGTAATTATTTTTATTTTTTAAACCCCCCCCCCAAATTTTTTTCTGCGTCTGCCCCTGTCCACTCCTGATTTTCTACATCATCTACATACACTAACAGCCCTTATTCTCAGTCATATCCATCCATCTCTTTTTTGGTCTTCTTCCTCTTTTTCCTTCAATATTCATTTTCATAACAACTCTTTCTGCTTTAGTTAATTCTCGCTAGTTCTTGAGCCTTTATACATATTCTGAATCAAATTTATATATATTTGTAAGATATAATACAGGTATAATCATTATTATAATTAAATAATATTATGAAAAGTATTAAAAACAATAATATTTATTTAATTTTAATAATGATTGATTTAATAATATTTGTTAGTACTTAATAAATTGTTATAAATATAATAATAATAATAATAATAATATAATTTATTTTAATCTAAAATATGTAATTTATCATATTCACAAAATAGTTGTTATTAAAATATATTATTTTTAGAAAAATGTTCAGTAAGAATTTGAATATATTATTTGAAATATTTTTTCAGGTTCAATAGAAGAACTATGGTAAATCAATTAGTTTGAAAAAAAATTAATTATTACCATCAAATATGAATAGCCAAACAGCATCAGTGTACGACCCATCTACGGCAATGGTGCAGCCATCGTACAACCAGTCAAACCAACCAGTTCTTTACTCTCAAAATTATTATAATAATGGATATAATATGCAGCAAGTTTCCAGTATTAATACTAGTACTTATTATAATAGTACTCCTGTAACTACATTCTCATATAACAATGTAAATGAACTTTATAATAATGGTTATATGGCATCAACAAATATTCCTCAATGTATTATCACACCTACAAATACTTTCAATACCAGTTTAAACAATTTTACACAACCTTCTACATCTTATTCATATAACAATATACAAATGTCTCAACAACTGAATGCAAATGTATATTATAGTAATGAATCATCCGATATAAAAAATAAACAATTTAGTAGTGAATATACCCAACCTAATGAGGTTCACACCAGTTTACCATATAATAATTTAAAGTCATCTAAAAGTGGACAAGATATAAAAAAAGAACCTAAAGAAATTGATGATTGGTTTAATTTAACTAATAAATTTTTGAATACTTCAGTGAATAACAATAGTCGAAAACATTCATCAACAACAAGTAGTACTTACAGTGATTCAAAACATTCTACTCGTTCTCCGTCTCCTAGACATCGATCTTATAGTAGAAGTAGTAGTCGAAGAAGTACAAAATCAAGTAACGAAATGAAAAGTAAAATGATGGAAATGAAAAAGTTGTCTACTATGTCCATTGAACAAATTATGGATATTGAAAAAAAAAAGTGGTATGAAACAGTGCCTTCAAACCTATATCTTAAAAAACCTGGTGATGATTCAAAAGTTTATGGAAATGAAGAAGTAATCAAAGTATGTGATGAATTTGAAAAAGAATTAGTTAACCGTGTTACAGAGCTAAATAAATCGAAACCCGTTTATAATAAACCCCGCAATAGTAATGTAAAAGTTCACAAACATAAATGTTCAAGAAGCTATTGTCCAGATGATGAATCTAGTTCATGCGAGGATGAAGAAGATAAAAATGATTTTTCTACATTAAAAGAGCTGGATAGAAAAAGTGCTCATCCAGATAGACTCCACCCAGAACTATGGTTTAATGAACTTGGAGAAATGAATGATGGTCCAATGTGTAAGTGTAGTATAAAATCACAGAGATCTGGTATACGGCATAATATCTATGTTGGAGAAGGACCTTTTGAACCTTGTTTACCAAATTCAAATAATGGGCACAAATTATTTCATTATAGAATTACTATAGCACCTCCAACAAACTTTTTACTCAAGTGCCCTACAGTAATTGAATGTGATAAAAAAAAATATGTTTTTGAAGGTTTTTCATTACTATCACATTATCCAGTTGCTATTTTACCTACATGCAAAGTTATCCGGTTTAATACTAATTATGCTATATTATACACCCAAGAAAAAATACCAAATAATTTTATCTGTAGAGAACTACAACTATTTTATGATTATTTATTTAGAGACATTTTGGAATTAGTTGACTTAGACTTACATGCCATAGGTAATAAAACTGGATGTCCTCAATTTCATTTTATGCCTCGCTTTACAAGACAATTACAGAATAACGGTAGACAATTACTTTCTATGCATGAAGTTCTCAAATATCTTTTGAAAAGTAACAAGTTACTTTTTGATGAGAAATCTTTAAATCATATAAAAAATATGCCTATGCATGAATGGCAAGATATAGTAGATGAATATAAAGGTATGATTGTTACGAACCCTTTAACTAAGCCATATTCAATACGTGTTGATCAATTAGATAGAGAAATTGGTAATGAGACAACTGAAAAAACAGAAAATGATGGTTATCCAGTGTTAGTACATTTTGGTATTAGACCCCCTCAACTTAGTTACGCCGGTAACCCAGATTATCAAAAAGGTTGGCGTGATTATGTAAAATTTAGACATCTCTTAGCAAATATGCCTAAACCATCACCGGAAGATAAAAGAAAACTAGAAATCAAAGAAAGAGACCTACAAGAAATGAGATCTCATAATAAAATGAAACGTGGAGTAACTGCTGCGGTTTCTAGTAAAGGATTTTACAAAACTGGACTCATGTGTGATATTGTTCAACATGCTATGCTTTTACCTGTACTAGTGTGTCATTTTAGATTCCATAAATCTCTAGAATATCTTGAAGAAACAATAGAATATAAATTCAAAAATAAATATTTACTTCAGCTTGCATTAACTCACCCTTCATACCGAGAAAACTTTGGTACTAATCCTGATCATGCAAGAAATACTCTTACAAATTGTGGTATAAGACAACCAGAATACGGAGATAGACGAATTCATTACATGAATACAAGAAAAAGAGGAATAAATACATTAATTAATATTATGTCACGTTTTGGTAAAAAATCTGAAATGGAATCAAATATAATGCATAATGAACGTTTAGAATTTTTGGGAGACGCTGTGGTTGAATTTGTTTCTTCTATTCATTTATTTAATATGTTTCCAGACATTGAAGAAGGAGGATTAGCAACATTTCGAGCAGCTATTGTGCAAAATCAACATCTTGCTGTTTTAGCAAAGACATTGAAATTAGATGATTTTATGTTGTATGCTCATGGTTCAGACTTGTGCCATGAATCAGAACTTAAACATGCAATGGCTAATTGCTTCGAAGCTTTAATGGGAGCGCTATTTTTAGATGGAGGTATAGAAGTAGCTGATCGTGTATTTGGTAAAACGTTCTATAAGGATTCACCTGAATTACTTGATATTTGGGTGAATTATCCTAAACATCCTTTGCAAGAACAAGAACCTGACGGTGATCGTAAATGGATTAAAACATTACCATTACTTCAAAAACTAACCAAATTTGAAGATTCTATTGGCATTAAGTTTAATCATATAAGACTTTTAGCTAGAGCATTTACTGACAGAAGTGTTGGATTTACAAACTTAACTCTTGGTTCAAATCAAAGACTCGAATTTCTCGGGGATACTGTTTTACAATTAATAGCATCAGACTATTTATATAAATATTTTCCTGAACATCATGAAGGTCACTTGTCTTTACTTCGTAGTTCTTTAGTAAATAATAGAACTCAATCTGTTGTATGTGATGATTTAGGTATGGTAAATTATGCACTTTATGCTAATCCAAAGGCAGAATTGAAAACCAAAGATAGAGCTGATTTATTAGAAGCATTTCTTGGTGCGTTATACATTGACAAAGGGCTTAAACACTGTCAAGTTTTTTGTAATGTATGTTTCTTTCCTCGTTTGCACGATTTTATTTTGAAACAAGATTGGAATGACCCAAAATCTAAATTACAACAATGTTGTTTAACTTTGAGATCAGTTGATGGAGGTGAACCAGATATACCTGTATATAAAGTAATAGAGTGCATGGGACCAACTAATGGTCGAAAATATACAGTAGCTGTGTACTTTAAAGGTGTAAGGTTATCTCAAGCAAACGGTCATAGCATTCAACGAGCTGAAATGAATGCTGCCAATAGTGCTTTACAAGTATCCAAAGATCTCTTTCCACAACTTGATCATCAGAGACGAGCAATATCAAGAAGTCTACGTCATCAATGTTCAGATGGGCAAGCAAATATTGTTGACATCATGAAGTTGTTAGAATCAAATCCTTCAAAATTTGAATCGAACCTAAGTACATTAGATTTAGCCAAAAGAAAACTTCATAGAAAACTGTTAGCTGTATTATTTAAGACCAATGAGGAACCAGATTTTGATGAACCTTGTAAAAACAAAAAACAGAAAACAAAATAAAAAATTGTTATCCAACTTTATATTAAACATTATTATTTAGTATATGAATATTTTATACACCTGAATAAGAAACTCAATGATTATACCCATTATACTTGTATTAATTATACTATGATTTATTTTGAATTGGGTTGTATACAATTTTAGTCTCAAACAATATAATGCTTATTGTGTATTGTGTCCAATTTATTTATTTTTAATTTAACTATATCTATTAATAATTAATCTTTAAATTAATGAAATGATTGATAAGATAAATAGTATGTGTACTTTTTAAAGTAGTACTATTAAAATTATTTATTGATAGTAGTTTTATGATAGACTAAATTTAAATTATTTAACAAACTAAAAACTAATTTAATAATGTTAATAACATATTTTATTTTATCATTAATTATTTATTTAATTATCAATCTGTTTTATACAAGAGAACTATATTACATTTTTTATTAGGATGTTAAATGTTGTTAAATATTTATCCTTTTATTACTTTAAACAATAGTATTTTAAGTATTGTAATTATGTATTACAATAATTATATAATAACTATTAGTCATTATATTATATTATACTACAAATCTATGTAAAATCAGCCCTTTTTTTCATATCTATTATTGTTTTTATTATTTTTCTAGTTTTTAATTTTTACAATTGTTTTGGAATGAACCACAGTAATTTACATTTTTGATTTGATTATACTAATTTTACTTACTGAACTTACTGATAATTAATTTTATGTTTATTGATTATAATGACAAATTTTTATTATAATGTGTTGGGATGTTTATGAAATTGTATATTTTTTATTGATCCAATTAGAACCTGATCAGGTACAAATCTGATTCATGTACTACTAATTAAAATAATACAATTTTTATTTTGCTCATTTTATGGTTTTACATTTTAAATGCATATTTTTAATATCTTAAGAATATAAATGCATATTTCAGTACATTTTTGAATTTTTTTTAATAAAAATTCAAATTAATGGGTAGATAAATGGTAAATTATCGAACCATATAATTGTTTTTGTGTCATATATATTTAGAATCAAATTTGGTCAAATTAAAAAACAATTTTATCACAATGTATTACTACTATTGTTGTAAATTAGTTTATAGGTTTGATGATATTTTTTATCAATTTAAGCCTCGAAAACTATGGTCATTGGTTTACAGTGATGACAATGATACAAACTGTATTGCTGTTACGAAACTTGGTGAAAAATTGAAACTTCATGGTATAAAGTGATACCTGGAACATTGATTTATCAACTAAATATAATAAATACTTTTTGATTTAAGCACTATCTTATGATTTGGGTTAAGCTATAAATGGTAATGCCTTTTTTTGTCAAAAAAATGATATAAAGATCATTTTAAAATCAAAATATGTTATATTTCATTTTTAAACAAATGGATGAACATAGTTTATTTTATATTTATCCTTAAAATTGTATTTTTTTTTTTTTGCTATATTTTCTCTTTTAACATTTCATTTAATTAAAATGTATTTAAACTGTAGGTAAAAATATTTTTAATATATATATATTTTTTTAATGCTTTATTTTAAACACCATAAAATTCCTCTTTTTGATTTTTTTCACGTTTTAAATATTTTTTTTATTATTTATGTATCTAGTTTCAAAATGCAAACCTAAAATATGATTAGAAATCAATAAAAAATAGCACCATTTAACAAAAATGTCTTTTTTATGATTTTTAATATTTGAAAAACTTAACGTCATATTGAAATGTTAATCTTGCATCGTCTTAAACACATAAAACCACACATTTATACGCAAATTAAATTTCAAAAATAAAATGTTTAAGTTGACATATCTTTGTGTGAAGGGAAGAACTTTTACAAATATAAGATAGGCAATTATGATGAGTAGGGCCCAATGATGTCACGCTTCTTTTTTTAAATGCTCATTACTTATTGAATAATGTGAATAGAAACGTAAAACCTATACCATTATTCTTAAAATTTAACATTCTTTCGAATAAAAAAAAACATATTTTTTGTGTTGTGTGCTCCTTTAATATTTACTGTTATGTGTTTAGTGTAGAACTAGATAACGAATAACTGCGGAGGTTCTTGACTAATTCCAAAGGGGAGGAGGGCGAAATATTTTTTAAAAATCAAATACAACCTTCAAAAATTGTAATCATAAAAAAAAAATTTTGTTAAATTTAAAATTTTATTTCATGTAATATAAGTTCTTTTTCGGACTTGTAATAAAATACTTAAAATAATGTAAAACATAAATATATTATCAGGTTTTTGCTATAATATAATATTGGGTTATCGCCCCTCCCCTTTTTCTGTAGGATCGACACTATAAAATAAGTTATATTTGTCATTAAATAAAACGGTTTTTGAATAAAAAAATATCCTACGATAAAATGACTTTTTTTGTAATCCTGCCTTGGGTGTCACAAAAATGTAATATTTCGGCTATAAACAGGAGCGAATAGGCCCACTGGGATACAGCATAGGTCGTTACGCACATAGCGTAAAATATTATTATAATAAATTTAAATTTAAAATATACGTTGCATTCAGTGACGTACATTCAATCTTGCTCTGGGGGGGGGGGGGGTTAACAAAAATAATCGTTATATTTTTATTTTCGTTGCACAGTTAAATAAGATAAATAACTGCTATAAATAGATATTATTTTATACAACTTTTTTACCAATTTACAGTTTACTTTTAAATTACAGTAAATTAATAGCTATTGGAATATAAAAACACCATAGTTAATAAAATTTTTCAAACACCTATCAATATAATTATTTAATTTTCATAATATTTGTATAATTGTATATTTTAAGTTCAAAGCGTAATAATGAAACTACGAATATATTACAGGTCATCAATAATAAAATAATTTTTTTTTTTTGGCCCCGAGGGGGTTTGAACCCAGACCCTCCCGTATGTACGCAACTGATTACATCGTTTTTGAATTTAATTACAAGTTACTACCAATCGTTTGATGATTTAGTTGCTCAAACTTTGCAATCAAAAGGCATTTCATTAAATAATTGCATTGGGAATTCGACCGATGAGCCAGAAATATGCAAAAACAATACTTAGAATTAGTTAAAAAAAAAATGGAAGACTTAGCTTCTAATCAAGTTCACGTATAGTGTGTTAAACATGTTCTAAATTTAGTAATAATTTAATGCAATGAAAACAATTAATGAAAAATTTAACTCAATGAATCCTGATAAAGCACATACTTTACTTAAAGAAGAGTTGTCTAAACGAGAACAACGATACGGACCATGCCGTCCCGAAGGGGGGTTTTGGGGAGGTCTCTCCCCAACGAAAATACCAGTCGGCGGTCGGACTTGTTTCATTATAACCTAGAAGGCCCTAATTTTACTTACGGAAAACAAATATTACATATTTCGTATTACAGTGTATACACGAATAAAATATAGGTACCTATAGAACTACTTATTATACAATATAAAATATTATTATATACATAATTAGTATATATATATAATTAAATTGTCAATTTTAAGAACGTGCGACACTGACAAATGTATACATATTAAAAAGTAAAAATACAACTACATATAGTTAATTATATTACATACATTGAGTAAAAAAATTGTAGTCGGTATTTTTCATATTATTCACCCCCTCTTATCTTCATCTTCGGGACGGCCCTGATACAGACAAATTTAATTTGGACAAAGAAGAATTTTCATGAAAAAAATTCTTGCAATGAGTGTTCAAATAGTATCCATTACTGTTATACTATTTTGTTGAGATATTATTTGTATTGTTCATTATCATTGGCTCATAAGTGTACATTAAGTTTTGTTGATATCACAAGTTTCGTGCGAACGATCGTTTTCCAAACTAACTTAAATACATAAAAAACCGGCAGCGTAATACAATTACATCTTCACATCAGGCATAATTTATTATTATAAGCACAGAAAAGATTTATATAGAAACTCAAATACAAGATAGTTATTGACAAATTTGTAATTAAAAATAAACGTCTCAAACCATTATTAATTACCTAACCTCTTTAATTTAATTATTATATCTATAATCTATATTATATACTATGTATTACTGATTAATTTTCAAATTATTCATTAAAAGTTTTATAAAATGTTTATGAATTATAATTGTCTATTTTTATTTTTCCATAAATGTGGAACAGTTCGAGAATTGGTTAGGTACAGTTTCACAAGTACAATCAGTTACAATAAAAGTGAATTAATCGAGTTGTCTTATAGTTCATAAAACAAAATAAATAAGTATTCATTAGGTACCTACTATCTTATGGCATTCTGCCTGAATGGAAATGTTAGTTTCAAACTTGTAAGTTGTATACAAAATAGTAAAAGTTAGATCCTTAATTTAGTTGTAATAGTAGGTACATAATATTAAATAAATTTGTTGTTTAAAAAAAAGGTGAAGTGGAGATGTTTAGTAATACCTTGGTTAAGGTAATTTTTTGGGGATATTGAAAATTTAAATGTTTGCTGTTAGAATACATTTTTCCTGAGCCGGCCAGAGCACGCCCTATCTACCCCTGGATATAGATAAAACGTTGTTTTATTATGTGTAGGGATTTTGAAAAGCACATTTTCTATAACTGCCTATATAATAGCACCGAACAACAATAACAATAGTGGCAATTTATAAATGTTTGTTATATTAGTAGATAATAATAGTAGCTGATAATACTCAATGTGCGTGATTGTACACAAAAAATAAAAATGATAAATTTATATAATGAATAATGATAACATAGATAACACTGTACACACCACTGTCACACAACCTAAAATCTGTCGATGTGTCCGCGAAAATTTCTATTCGTACTTGATTTGAATTTAAAATTGTTTTTTGATTGAAATTTTTTATGCAATGTCTATATCAAATATTTCGGACATAATCAATACACTACCAATTTTGAAAGAAGATGGTAAGGTTTAATAATATCACAATCAAAATTCACATTTATCTCTTATTTGTTTTAAAATGTCAACTGAATTGTACAATTTTTCTTATAACATGTACGGGAATTTATTTTCTATATGTTACTGTTGTTGTACTTTACCAATTTAAATATAATTGTACTTACTAGTAACATGTAATTGGGTTTAAATACTTTTAACAAAATTATTCCTATTATGAATATCAAGATTTTTATACTTAATCAGATTTTAAACATTGAAAAAATTAATAACAAAAATCTATCAAGTTTCAATCCATTTTCATTAGAAGCTCTGATGTTGGTATTTATTTCATCTTCATTAAATATTTTGCAAATTTGATATAAGTATTATTTTAATTGAATATGTATCCCAACCAGTTTCAAATCCATTAAGTTTAAAATATATTTATTATTAATATTCTTTGCATATAATACATTTTAATTACAATAATTATAAAAAATAGAAATAAGAGAATATTTGTTTACAGAATACTTTTCTCAATTTATTACGAATAAAAAGGGAAATAAATTTAAAGTTAATATTGTGCAGCTTTCTGTTGATGAACAGTTGGGAAAATTAAATAAAGGTAAAAAAAATATTTATTAATTCAAAATGATTCATATATTTCATTATTTATATAATTACTCAAAGAAACTGTATTTTAGGGTTACAATATGTTGAAGAACTTATATGTGATATAACTTATGAAAACCACGAAGAATTATTTAATCAAGTAATGTGGATTGAAAATTTGGAATCTGTAATTGATGAAATATTGTTACAAATTCAAGTAAATATTTACTATTTAATGCATGAATTATTACAGTATAATTTAACTATATAAAATTAAATATATTTATTTGATTTATTACTTTATAAAAAACAATAATATTATTCTATCAAATGGTGGTTACCTAATAATTTTAAAATTGAATATATGATATACCTTATATTTTAACTTACACACATAATTTAAAAATAATAACTATATATTATTTTTGTTTTAGAACTTACAGTCTTCAATTGAACTCTTAAAGTGTAAAATAATTGATTTATTTGTCCAAGTTCAAACACAAGTTATTATACTAAATAGATTGCATGCTATTTGTGATTTATTGAGAAAAATTATGAGAACTCAAAGTCTTACATTACAAGTTTTAGATAAAGAAATAATGTTATCGTCCAATTTTATGTTTGAAATTAGTAAGTATTTTATTAAATTATCATTAAAAAGGTTAAGTATCTCATAAAGTATAGGAATTTAAAAAATAGTTATGAAATTAGATGGTTATTTTTTTTAAAAAACATTATTTATAAATTCTAAATTCTATTAGAATATGGTTAATATATTAATCATTTGCCAATAATAAGACTAGGCTTGAGATAATGGACATACACATTATGTATAAGACTACTTGTATTGGTTGGTTAAATATTGATTAATAATATTAATATTAAGTTCATTAGCAGCAAAAAAAATATTATTTAATATACATTAACCAATTGAGTTGGATTTAGTATTTTAGTAGAGTAAGATACTTTTTTCATCAGTTTCTATTATATAATTTAAAATAAATTCATCCTTTTCCTAAGTAACAATTCTTAAAAGAAACTTTATCTTATATTTATAATGCGATGCTCCACTTATCCTATTACCTACTAATCTTATGAATATATAATATTTACAATGACTACTATCAGTGAGTGAGTAATAGGGTGAAAAAAATTATATTCATATAGTTATTTTTTTGTGAATACCGATCACACTATGTTTTCAATTAAATTAGGTAATCTTATTTTTGATCGGCCTGGTTCAAAGAATACTACGATCCCACACATAACCAACTCCCAATATTTATATTATGGCACTGCTCGGTCCAAGACTGGCACCCAGCTCGTGCAGATCTCTAATAGGTACTATAAACATTGTTTGCATTCATTATTAGAATTTATATAAAAATATTGAATATTGATACTTGATCTAAATGTTTTTATTTTAAAATGCTGTCATTTCTGTCATTTATTTCGATTATCATCGTAGACCGCAGTTCGGGAATTCGTAATGTGGATGATGGGTGGGCGGTCGCGATAGTGCAACAACGCGATTATGGAATACTCACACTAACGTTAATTTACTTTTCACATATTGAAACTGCTCAAATATAAATGATATACGAAATGCCTATATATTACTTCTAAAAAAATACTATTTTACCAATCCCTAAAGTGTTTTGTATACATTTATAACTATTGGTTTAATTTTGAAGAAAACTACAAATTATAGTTGTGAGTAGTTGAAAATAAATTTTTGAATATATTCTAAAAAGTTATGTTAGCTCTTTATTATTTATAATAAATATTAGATATACTCCCGATTTTTTTATTACATTTGTTTTACGTTGGTAGTCAGGACTGATCTTCATTTATTTGATTTCTTTTTGTATTACTTTTTTATTTAAGTTAGATTTTTATATTTTACTATTCTTTTCATTTTTTGCAATTTGTTGTAAATAAATGTATAATATTGTATAATATAATGTATATATTAATAAACATTCTCATGAGCAAAATAACTCATTCATTTGTGCACTAAGCCAACGTCTAATCACCAAATTTAATAATTCAGATGTTACCAAACGTTTTTTTAGGCCTAAACAGTATATCATGTTTTTGCATTATCAAAAGGACTATAACGAGGGCTTTATTTTTTTTTCATTCGAAATAAACCTATCCCTTGCATGTTTTTATTTATAATAATTCATGAATATTTGAAATTCAAATATGGAAACTTAAATTAATAATTAATAATTAGGTATTTCTATTGTCAATAAATTTGGAACTGAACAAAAAAATTGTAGTATTCTATTCCTCATTTTTTTCCTACGAATTATTGATAAATTATTTTTTCACATAAAATTAACGGATAAGTATAGTATAAATAAAAGATTTTATGTAGCAAATAAAATGTTCATCTTCTGTCAGTATATTTTAAATTTAGTGATTCACGTAATTTCAGATTATCAGCTTCTATTGATTACAACTTCTATAACTATCTATACTTCTATACACTGTTAAATCCATATAGTAATCAGATTATACATTCAATTCATAAACTAAGACTAATTACATATTATTCAAATGATTCATCCAATTGGTGTAATAACTCATATGTATAAATAATATATTCTTATCGTAGATAAAATACGTTAACTAAATAAATAATTAAAAATTATCAATTGGTTATTTTATATTTTAATTTATAGTTGAATTACATAAATAAGGCTTTCCCATAGGCTCTAAGAAGATATTGATTTTATTTATGGATGTAATTTTATTTTTATTTTTATATTTATAACATTATTTTGATGATGTCATATTTTTATTACTCCTATGATTTTTTTTTTCATAGGAGATAATATAAAAATATAGAAACATTCGAGTATTTGTTGATTAGATTTAAAACCATTGGTAATAATTTAATTCAAAAATCTGTTAAAACTGTTACAGCCTTAAATTAATTTTAGATTGTATTAAAATAATATGTTATACTTTATAAATACGCAAATGATATCACTGGATGTGTATTTAAATGTGCAATTATATTTGAATATTTCTAGTAAATAAATAGGATAAAAAAATGTCATGCATTATTTCTAATATGTAAAATACCAATTTTGAACCATTATTTATCGAAGCGTAATAAAAAAAAACTTCTTTTTTAGGTTAGTTTCGAGTTGTTTTATTTTTTCGAAATCGATATTATGAAAATAGTATTCAAAATCTTGGTATGTGTTCTAAAAGTAAATTAAATTATTTTTAATATATATGAATAACTTTGCGTATTTTCATTTTTCTCATTATTAAAAAGTCGTAAAAACAATTCTAATCTAATTTAAAACATTGTATACCTTGTACCTAATGACTACATCTAATATCGATGACTAAGTATCTATTTAGTATCAAATATTTGATAATCTACATTTAATAAGATTGAAGCATGGTCAAATTACGTTGTTCTTGTACCTTGTATGGATAGGGGCAAGCCCAGATTAAGAGAGGGGGCCATGGCCTTGGTCCGCAACGGATATCAAACAACAATGGGCGGCCCCAGTCTGATAATATTTTTGATCTTTATATTAAATCACAAATATTTGGATAAAATACAATAACGTTTTCTATAGGCTATAGTACATCAATAATGGATAATATGTTATAATTATGCTATCATAATATCGACATTATCGTCTATTTTTAGCAGTATAATAATGGTAAGGTCAAATTTATACAACTTTCGGAACACCCGAGTACAGTGAACAGGGCCGGTGAGAGAATGAAACAGGAATGGCTAGAGTTCCAAAGCCCATGCTTCTGAGAGGGCCCTTCACCTCAGCCTTTTATTTAAAATTATTTTATAATCTCATTCGCCGTAGCGTAAGATGAAAATTTAAATATTTTTATAATTATAAATTATACACAAGTAGTACTCGTATATCTTGGCCAAACAAGTGTATATAAAGGAGACCTGGAATTAATTAACCCCGGGTTCCTCAAAAGTTCTCGACGGCCCTGACAGTGAATACCGTCGTTGACAATTACGAATTTACGATGGTTGAAATATTATTACTGGGGCTGGGATTTTAATGCTCTAAAAAAATGCAAAAATGACTTAAGAATTATAAAAATGCACTTTAAAAATACGTTAAAAAATATATTTATTATAATTTAAAAAAGATATTATAAAGATCTTGTTGCCTTACATATTTAATTATATTTATTTAACATAATATTATTATACCTATTTGTTTAACATTTACATTTTATTTAACTTTTGAAACGTGCAAATTTTGATCAAAAGCCGAAACGCGTGATAAAATAGCCTAATATTTAAAAATTAATAGATAAATTCTAAAAAATGCTCTAAAAACTTTAAAAATGTCATAGTAATACCAAAATAAGTCCCTATAAATGCATTTAAAATTAAATTTATTTTAAAATGTAAAATAAAAATACATTAAATTAATCAGTATCAGATGAAATACATTTTCTGCTTACGGACCTCGTGTTAGGACATAAGAAAAAAATATGCATTTGTATCAAATTCATCATCAGAAACTGATTCAGAACTTAAATTTATTCAATTTTCTCTAACATTTCACTCATGATTTGATAAACAGTGACACAGAACTGCATAGTGATATGCGCTTACATAGGTCACAAAGTTTTTCTTGCGCTGCGCTGCCCTACACTGTGCTGTGCTATCTGCTACTCTATGTGCGCCCGGCCTAACGGTTGCACACTCGGAGATATCTAGACGCCCTTGATTCGTTTCTATCGTTCGATCGCCGTCATTGTTAATCAAAGTCGGTGACTGCCGCCTTGTTTACAGATGATTATAAAAACAAAACCTTATTAACCGTTGTGTATTATATTAAATATTATGATAATCGTATTATAGATCATACACTGTCAAATAACTACGTATAACAGTGCCGTAACGCGTCGGCATACCCAACACTCCTCGTGGAAAAGACACATGCGCAATAAAAACTAGTTTTCGTCCTAGCACTCCAAAAGTCTATAGTTATAAAAATATATAAAATAAAATATAGTTATAAAATTGTTTTTGATCATAAAAAATATACCTATCTTATTTAGTTATGATTTATTAATATAGTTCGCTAAAATTGTTTGGCCCCGGATCCAAAGTTATAAGTTATAAATAAGGAAAATAAATAGTTAATAAAAAACGAACGGTACTAGTTTGCGCACAAATACCAAAAAGACAACTTGTTTGGGCACAAAAGTATCACTCGTTTGGGAACAGTCGAGTCGTAATCATACACATGGTTTGCGCACAGTTACCTTTTAGACTTTAATAGTTTAATACCTTGCATATTAATATTTCTTTATTATTAAAGTCGATTATAACACAAGTTTCAGTTGAACATTTTAATTGGCATTACGTTTATTAAATACATACTATATTATAAATTAACTCATAAATGAATGTATACTATATATTAATATAATATTCCCCCATGTATAGAAAGTACTTCTATACTCTATACTAAAGATGGCAATCGTGGTAATGAAATGTGCCAACAATTATTTGATTTATTTTCTCCTTCCTGCATGTCACTAAATTCTAAAAATTAATATGTGAATAATTTATGAAAAATCATTACTTAAGTATTGGTTAATTTGCCTGATGTGATTTTTGTTGTTATACACTTGATGCCAATTAATTTGTATTCGTTTTATAATTTGTTACTTTCAATGTAATGCAATGCACTACTCCATTCATATGTTGATCAATTTATTAAATCATATTTAATAAAATTAATTTGCTCGAAAATAATAACACGTGTGAATATGATAAATAAAAATTGACAAAAATATCCAATGCCTAATATATATAAATATATGTGCGTGTACTTTATTTTTCAGGAGAATTAATGGAAGATAAGGATTTGAAAGAAATCACATTTTTAAGTAAAGATTTGATTAAACTAAGTAATTTATGTGAAAAAAATCTGTTGGGTTGAAATGAAATAATTTTATTGTTGTAAATTTATATTGCTGGTTGATATTTTTTATGATTGTTAATTTAAATAATATATTTTTGTATTATGTTATTGAAAAATGTATAAACATTTTGGTATTAAATTTGTTATTTATTCCCGTATTATGAAAATAAAATTCACATCATGTAGTGAGATTATAAGTGCATTTCAGATCTAATTATACTTAAAAATTATTAAATATGGAAAAAACAATATTTTATTTTTGTTTTTATTTATTTAAGAGCTTTCAGTAAGAACTATTATAGCTCAACAATTAAATGCAATAGCTTGAAAATCAATTACGACAATTGTACAAAATTAGACATAGTTCATTATTATACAACATTATATAACAAACTGAAAATTACAGCAATTTAAAATAATAATAAGTAATGATTAGGGCTCGGAAGTTGATGACCTTAACCCTTCGTTAGGCGCGTGGTCTACAATTGTAGATCAGCTATAAATATTGACAATTTTAGTATTTATAAAAAAATTGCAGCACCTTATACTTTATAGTAGCTGTTGTTTATATATACTAGTGTGTGATCAGTATTATTGTGACCGTTGACGAGCGCTGTGTAACGAAACATATCAACAATATTCCGAGTGGTCTACAACTGTAGGCCACGCGACTTACTATGTTATATTTTTTTATAAATTTGCAAAATTCATTTTTTTTTTAATCGGATAAAGTTATATAATATGTTATTATTATTAATATACCTGTTGGGTCATGACATTTTATTTTATATAAATTATAAAATCTGATTATACTTTATATCAATATTATGGAATTTAGTTTACAAGAGGAAATTATTACTAAGAAAAATAAGCACCAAAACTCATATACACTATCATTTCCTATAAAGAAATTAAAGTTATAATACCTATATTTATTCGACGATAACTAGTAAAAAAATATAAAAATGTATTTTAATTTTGTTTCGGATCTTTTGTAAACATGTCAATTTAAGATATCTATAGTTTTCAGACTGATTGGAAGGTAATTGGGTAAGTAGTTCTAAAAATAAAAATGTCATGAAAGAAATTATAATAATTTCACTATAAAAAAGTTAACTGTATTTTCTTCAAATATTCATGGATTATTTTGGATATTTCAATGCTCATACGATTATAGTAATTTACATTATTAATATAAACAAAAATAATTAAAATTAATTGAATTAGTCATAAATTAAAATGGTCTACAAGTGTAGACCACGCGCCTGAATAAGTAACAATATACCTCGCGCCTAACGAAGGGTTAAAAATATTAAAAAATTATCTAAAAAATATGCATATATGGCATAAAAATTACAAAAAAATTTCTTAAAAAATGACCTAAAAATTATAAATATTCGTTATAAATTAATAAAAATGAATTTTTTTTAAATATTATACTCTATTTTACTATCACATAAGATAAGATAAGAAGTGAACTAGTGTGAAATCAGTTAAAATGGCTAAAAATGTTGGAAAATGACCTAAAAATGTCAAACAATTACTTAAAAGGTAATTAACAACAACAAATGCAAAATAAAAATTAGTTATTTGGATTCACATGCTAATGAAACACATTTGTGGCCAGAAGAACATCGTCTAAAAAGTTCCAAAAAAAAAATGCAAAATGCATCAACTTCCGTGCTCTAGTAATAATATAGTAATAAAATAATAATATGTTGTCACAATAAGAGTGAGAAAATAATATCAATAGGGATTATAATTGTTCGAGAGAAATTTATTCAAAGAGAACGTAAGAGATTATTGATGTTTTTTTTTTGCGGGACGAAAATAGGAAAAAAAATAATTTTTGAACTATTTATTAATTTGATTTTAAGAAAATGGTATAGAAATAAAAGACATAAAAGATTAGAGTAATTCGTTTAAATCCATTTTTAATAGGATTGGTAATGGGTAAATTATAGCTTTTAAATCGCTGAGAAATTATAGAGTGTCTCAAAAAGAACGCAGGATTTAAATCTGATATAAAATTAATTTATTTCTTTTAAAAAGATACCAAATATATCATTCTCTTCAGAAGGAGTTAAGACTTAACAATGAAAAATAAAACAATATCGGGCATATGACCCTTTTTACTAGCCCTGCAGAAGATTATTCTATCCATAAAATTTACCATCACATGATCACACATTGCCCTATCAAGTTCGTTGAGGACACGACGAATTTCTTACTCAAGTTCCAAGACATTTCGAACTTTGTTCTAGTAAACTCGTGACTTAGTGTATCCCTATAAGAAAAAATCACACGGCGTCAAGTCGCAAAATCGAAGTGGGTAGCTTTAGTCTCTACGCAATGAGATTAGTCTGTCCAGAAACTTCTCACGCAGCAGAGTGATTGTTTCTCTTGAAATGTGACAAGTTGAAACCAAAAATTTTTGATGTTCATTTGATCTAAATATGACCAAAGAAAATTACTGACCTCAGTAGGTATTCTGGTATGGTTACAACAAGACGGCGCAACTTCAAGAGAAACAATCCCTCTGCTGCGTGAAAAGTTCCTGGACATACTAATCTCATTGTGTGGCCAAAGCTACCCACCTCGATCTTGCGACTTGACGCTGTGTGATTTTTTCTTATAGAGATACACTAAGTCATGAGTTTACCAGAACAGAGTAGCTTTTAAATCAATGCAAAATAAAGGCATTGGGCATTTTGTGATACGATGTATAATATTAGTGACTCGAATAACTTCGTCACCTATATCTGTTAAACTGGCTTGTATATCTTCAAGAGTAGTAGACGGGTGGAGGTACCTGATAAATATGGTGTATGCTTTCAACTATTTAGGCAAGTATGAGTGAAATTCGATCTGTTCATTATCGGTTAGGTATTTATAAACTAAATTATCATTAGTTATGCCGTCAGTGAGAATAATCAAGTATTTTGGAGTATTTTTAAAATATATACTCCACGGAATAAAAAAATTAAATAATGCTTTTTTAAGAGTGGATAATTTGTAACCTTTAATTAGATAAAAGGGAGGTGTTTAGAAAATTTACTTGAAGAGGATTCTACGAAGAATTTTTCTAATAAAATGCAATTTCCTCGAAGAAAGAAGCAAAGTGATTTGGTGTGACACTTTTTTTTATCATTGGTTTTTCATTGGTTTTGTAGACGAAAATGAATCGTGTGTGAAGTCACGTCATAGTCATCGGAAATCAGGTAAAACTGTGCAGCTTAAATAATTTTCCAGGGAAACTGCGCAATCCGGACTCTCTGGAAAACCGGATCGTGTATTGCAAGCTCTAGTAGTATTCCGAGACATGTTTGGATTTACAATAATTTATATGGACTCTTTAGTGAAATATAAAATTTGATATTGGACGAGCACAATGAGCGATCGCTAATAATTAATATAATATATATTATTTTATATTATATAATGTTGTATTTTATTATGTGTTGTATTTTATCATGCCAAAAAAATATAGGGCTCTCCATTTCAGTGAATATAGTACAGTTATACATGTGATTTATATTGGTAGGATATTGTAATTTATATTGTCACAGTTATAAAAATAAATTTATACTAGATAAGTAGGGCCCGGAAGTTCATGCATTTGCATGTTTTTACTGAATGGACTAAAAAATTGCTAGATCAGCTACAAATTTGAATTATACTTAAACAAATCCGAATACAAAATTTTATTTTGCATATAATTGCATATTTTGAGGTTTTTTTATTTATTCGCAAATTTTACAACTTTTTTGATATTAACTGCATATTAGAGTCAAATGTTATGTAATTCACAAAATAAATTACTTCTGAATGTCCTATTGATAAAAAAATAAAACAATACCAAATTATTTATAGTTGTATTGGCGGCGCGGCGCACGGCGGCGGCCCGATAACGGGTATTCCACAATATATTTTCAATTAAATATATTTATTTTTTAGAAAAGTGCTGATATTTTATTATTATTACAATAACACGATTATAGAATGCAATCAGTTCGTTATTTCTCGTTGGTATTGTTTGACGTCTTCCGTAGTTCCGCGAGTGAATATCGAGTGTCCGCCTTTTAGATTAACTTGTGTTAAAATGCCGAAAGTAAAAACATCAGTTACCGTTAGAGGTAAAAATTACGTTACTGAATTCGGTGAACATATTTTCGCGTTCGACGGGAGTGTATTATTTTGTAAGATATGCGAAGTCAGGGTAAAGTGCGAAAAACGTTTCAGTGTCACTCAGCACTTAAGTACTGAGAAACATATAAGAGCCTCTAATCGTCAAAATAAAAATGCCACACAACATCTAATTATTACTCCAACACGAAAATCTGACTTTTTTAAGGATTTATGTGAAGCATTCTTAAAATCAAATATTCCATTAGAAAAATTAGGAAATCCTCATCTACGTTTATTCCTTGAAAAGTACATAAATAAAGATATACCATCTGTATCTACACTGAGAAAAACATATGTCAATGATTGCTACGAAGATACGATGAATGAAATAAGAAATCAAATACTTAATAAAAAAATTTGGGTGTCTATAGATGAGACAACAGATACAGAAGGACGTTATATGGAGAATGTGATTAATTGGAACCTTACTAACCGACGGACCAGGTAAAATTTTTTTAATTGCTCCGGAAGTATTAGAAAAAGCCAACCACACGACAATAAGTAAATTATTTGATAGAACCCTTTTTTCTTTGTGGCCAAATGGAATTAACCATGACGATGTTATTTTATTTGTGACCGATGCAGCACCATATATGGTGAAAGCTGCAAAATCTATCCAAGCATTCTATTCTAAAATGGTACATATAACCTGCCTCGCCCATGGTTTGCATCGTGTATGCGAGAAAATTCGTGCAGAATTTCCAAAAGTTGACGAACTTATTTTGAATATGAAAAAAAGTGTTCTTAAAGGCGCCAGCTCGCGTTGAATTGTTCCGAAGAGAAGCCCCAGAAACACCATTGCCTCCTTCTCCTATCATTACGCGTTGGGGAACCTGGTTAAAAGCCGCAATGTACTATTGTGAGAATTTTAAAGCAATTAAAAAAGTCGTACATTTATTAGATGCTGATGATGCGCTATCAATTGGAAAAGTTAAAAAAATTATGTCAGAAACAGATTTAGAATCTAATTTAGCTTTTATTTATACAAATTATGGATTTCTAACTACGGCTATTACATGTTTAGAAACTCAGGGAACTCTTTTAACTGACGCAATAAAAACAGTGGAGAATGTAGAAAATAAATTAAATACAATAAAATGTTCCAAAGGCATTACAATTTATAAAAAATTTGAAGAAGTTATTGCGAAGAATCTGGGCTTCAAAATACTAACCAAAATTTCAAAAGTTATGCTGGGAGAAGAAATCACAATGGATAATTTACCTGAATATATTTCTTGTGATGATCTACTATGTTTCAAATACGCGCCAATTTCTTCGGTTGACGTGGAGCGGAGCTTTTCGGTATACAAAAATATGTTGGCAGATAATCGGCGGTCATTTAAATTTGAAAATTTATCAAAGTCGTTGATTGTAAATTGCAATATTTAAAAATGTATATTAATTAATAATATTTTTAATTACCTGTCAAAGAAATTTGAATAAAAATCGTAGTAGTATAATAATGTTTTTTTCCTTATATTTATAAATTTAAAAAAATAAGGGCATATTTAAGCGCATATATCACGATTTTTAAGCGCATAAGTGCATGCATATTTCGGTAGTTTTTAGTGCATAAACTTCCGGGCCCTATAGATAAGGCAACTATTTTACTGATTGTTATCACCAAAGTATATTTTAACATATAAGTTAGGGGCATTAGTACCACCTAGTTACGAATCAGTGCCATTTTATGAATAATGGTACTATAGAGTGAGGTGAATGTTCTACATTCATTTAATATCCTTGGAAATTGAAATATATTGTTAAATAACATCAAGTATGTTTTTATTATTAATGACATCTTGCACAAAGTGTATGTTTTATAATTTTAAGTTTTAAATGTCGTCAGGTAAAGCCTAACTCTATTATATTCTATTATATTTGAGTTTTTAAGTCTATCTATTTGAATACAGCCAATAAAGGTGAATAAGTACATTTTTATGCAAGCTGAAAACTTCAAAAAGGTATATAGGAACGGTGTTACGAGCATTCTAACAATTTTGATGATTGGAACACCTTGGTCGAAATCTCATACACAAATGGAAAAAATGACAAACATCACGGAAAGACCAATACGTTCCTTGTTCCTCTTAGAATCTAAAATAGTTGTATAGTAATATGTATTGATGAGAGTTATCGAATGAAATAATCGAATCATTCGAATAATTGATTCAATTCTATCAGTTCCAGGTTAAGGGGGGGGGGGGGGGGCAAAAGAGGCAGCTGTCCTGGGCGGCAAAATTTTAGGGGCGGTCATTTTTTGACGGCGTCAACAAAAGTTTTAAAATTTTCTAATGTATATATTAGTTTTTAGGAAAAATTATTAATTTATTATTGAAAAATAATAATAACAATTATATAATATTATAATATAATATATATATTATAATTATAACAGTTATTTTATATTATATTAAACCACTTAGTTATTTCGTCTGTGGGCGTTTACCATATTAAGGGTAAAACCATATTATTATTTAGTGCTCGGACATATGCATTTTTATTTTCTTTAGACTGACATAAAATTGTGTTTATTGTATTTCTTATATTTCTATGTGTGTATTATAATTTATAACCATTAGATTATTAAATTTAATTATTAATTTATTTACACACTACCAAGCAATTGTTTTTGTTATATGTCTCTATGTCTCTTTCTCTTTCTCTCTCGTCTCATGTTCATAGTTGTCGTCATTGTCGAGTCCGATTCACGAATCACGATTAACTGGAAAACGAACGTGCTTAATATTTTATATTCCATCAATATGAGTGGAAAGCGTATACAAATGTATATATTGAAATAAATAAGTTGTTTGGGTTTTTTTTTTTTAAATTTGAAAGGAATTGACGATGATATTTTACGAGAAAAATCAAAGCAATTAGTAAATATTTATAGTGTTTATAACTGGAACTTGAGAATGAAATTATACAATTCAAAACAATAATAAAGTATTTTTCAGAAGATGAAAAATTATCTATGCTCAGTTTTTTTGAAGTATTAACAGTATCAAAGTTAAACGATTCATTTCCTACTGTGAAAATAGCTTTAAAACTTTTTATATTTATACCATGTTCAAATGCTAGCGAAGAAAGATCCTTCTCATTTATAAAAAGAGTCAAGAATTACCAGAAAACATAATTATTCAAATGAAAATATGTCATAGTTGTCTCTATTGTAAATATTTTTCTAAAAAGTATAGGTTGGAATGATATTATTAAAGAGTTTGCTGCACAGAAATCTAAAAAAAATAGTTGTAAATGTTTTATAATGAATAAATTTGTATTTTTTTTGGTTTTTGGAGGGGTTGAAAAGCGAAATTTTAAAATCTGCCCCATGCGGAAAATTTGTTAATCCGGCACCGAATTCGAATATTCAAAAATTAAATGAATTATTTGTAAACATTCATATGAAAATAATTAACAAATTATTATCAGATTAATTCTGAATTCTATAAACTATAATAGTCGGTACATAGTACTCAGAAGCAATATTAAATAATAATATAGTTTGATGTATTGCAAAGGAATTTCAGTGTTTCGCACCATTAATAATTATAATATAGATTATCATTCGAATATTTATATATTCATTCAGGGGTGTAGCTAGGTATTTCAAAAGGAGGGTGTTCAATCAAAATTAACCAACAAGATAATAACTTTACGTATACTTTACTGGACACGCATACATTAGTACATTATATATGAATATCCATTCATGTGTAATGTATTAATAAACGAGAAAGTGTTTGAATATTTTATTAAAATTTCAAATATACATTTTTGTCTCTTTTATATATTTTAAATCGTGCATAAAACGACACAAAATCCCAGCTTTAGTTAGTCACGAAAAATTGTATAATGAGAAGCCGGATCCCGGCATTACATTATCGTAATATGTATATATTTTGTTACGATAAATATGTGTTCATCACGGTTTATGATGGATTTTTACCTATACTAGACTTGAGTATAACACGGTAAATTGGGGGAGGGGTTTTTTTTTAACACGGCTACGCACCTATATTCACTAATCAGTTCAAGCAATATTTATCGTAATGCATTCGAATGATTCATCGATTTAATCTGTTATTAGTAATATTACTCATCCGATTATCTTATATATAAAGCGAGTAATATTCACTGGATTGTTTTATTTCGACTACTAATCTTTCGGTTATTATTTTTTCAATTCTTATCGCTTTTTCGTAAACGATACGTGTATCTAATTGGTCGGATTAAGAACCTATTGGGCCTCGGGGCTGAAATTTTATATGGACCCTTTTGACAAAACATGTTTTACAAAGCTGCTCGTTACGCCCGCAAAACGATACATTTTTTAAACTATTTCACAAATTGTCAATTTCATTATAAAATAATAAAATTAATAGGTGTATACAATACATGTCTATATAACTACTAATTTTAGTATGATAAGAAATGTGTATCGGCTTAAAATTGTTTGGGCCCCTTTCACTTGGGTACCCGAGAGGGCCCCGGTGCTAGACCCCCCCCCCCCTTAATCCGGCCTTGCGTGCGTTCAGAGACAAGTTGTAGCGCTCATCCCGCGGTCTCGTCGAGGAAACGCGCGCGCCAATGACATTATTACAGTCGTTATCAGCGACATTGCGCTACGTTGTGCAGCGGAGCGCCACGGCGGAATACGTCGCCGTTCGTGTTTTGTTATTGTTTTCCTTTCTCGCCGCCGCCGCCGCCGCCGCCGCCGCCTCCCACCAAACGCCTTCCATCCCCCGCGTCGCCCGACAGCGTGCGGGAGTGTACGTGCGTGTACACGGGGCGATCGTCGATCCCCACGAACAACGCGCACGCACAGTCGCTTACACAGTAACAACGCATTCGTCGCGATCGGGTGGCGTAGCAGCTCCGCGATTTGGTACGTATCCGCGCTCGTTGGTTTGTGTGTGTGGTTGCTTTTGTGATGAACGCACTGGTTGTCGCACAACGATGTTCGTTCCACGGAGTCGAGCCTAGACCGCAATCGCGCCGCTCGTAACACCGTCATCGACGACCTCCGTGGCCGTTGTCGTGGTAGCAAATCATTTCGTGACGCGACCTGCCCGCCGTAGCATGGTGTCCGGTCCTCGAAACCACCACTGACGACTGTGCCGCTGTGTACCGCTGTACTGCTGCTGCTCTACTACCGCGACGGCGGAAACGCCGAACAACGTTATCATCATGAGGTGAGTGCATTGGCCCCCCGACGCCCATTTTTCCCGACCGCTTTCGTCTCCCCCCGTCTATGGTCCCTCGCTCGTCGCAAAACCACCCTTCCGCGAAACCAAAGCGCAAACATTTTTACCATCCGCCCTTGCGTGCGCGTATCCGATCGTCGCGTTCACTTTTCTAGTCGCCCGATCCGGTCCGGTTGCGTAACGCCGCGGACGATACTACGCCGTCGTCCACCGAATCCGGACACCGTACGGTGTGGATCTCTCTCCCCGAGCGCGTACCTGGTATTTGCTAGTAGTGCTAACCGCACCCCGGCAGCCGTTTCGGCCCTAGAAACTCGTGGACGCGGCCCGAAACGTGTTTTCCCGAGGCGATTTCGACCGCACGATGCCCGACGTACATTGGACAATACCGCCACCACCGCCGCCGCTCGACGATCATTAGTAAGCGTATTCCAGGTATTCCGCGCTAATGACTCGCACGTCGCGTCAACCGGCACTTAGCAAACGATGTCCTGTCCCGCGGTCTAAATGACTTCATCACTATATGATACGTACCTACTGTCTCCTGCAAAAATATTTGACGATATTAGAGAATTTATGTTGTCGCTAAAAAATGTTACAAATTTTACAAATACAACGTAACGTGGTCGTGTCAAAATTCCATTTCAAATTAATCTTATCTTATCCGCGCGGCGATAATTATGGAATGTATTGTCATTTGTAAATATGTTTTTACCAGTCTCCGATACTTTTTTTTTATTATTATTTTTTTTAGGAAATAATATGTTATCTTAAAATAACAAATTCTAATTGCTTAGGTCTTGCATTGTATTCGTTTTAATGAATAATTGATTATTATAATTGTTCGTGGTTATCAATTAAATCATAATTTTAAATGACTTCTGAATAATATCGTTGCAATTTTTATATTGTTCCTTGACTATTTTGAATATGTATGAAAATATAAATATAATATTTAAATATCTATGAGTCATTTGGAAATAATTAAATGTTCCTAGAATTTTTTACAATTATATAGTGTGATGATTATATTTTTAATTATTTATTCAATTAATGTTTTACTATATCTAAAGTTTTGAATGATTAGTAATATATTAATCTAATTATCTAATTTAATAAATTTAAATTTATCTTTATTCCTCATGATTATTCTTAGATAAGTTCTTGAATTATTAATTTTAAATTTTAAGTGAAACAAAAAATACATGGGTCTTACCATGTGTGGTTTTTTGTCTGTGTACACAGTTTTGAACAAAAAGAATGCTCCAATCATTATCAATTAAAAAGTAAAAAATAGGAAATGGGTCAGTACTTTCGAAGGATCGTTTTTAGAATTCCTCAACAGTTTTCTAAATCATTGAAGAAATTTTGATAACGTTATAAAACCCTTAAAAATTCAACTGAAATTTAAACCTTCTCCATTAATAATTGAAAATTATTTTGTTCTCTACCTATTCTTTTTTTTTGAGTTTGTATGCATAATTATGACAATAAGAATTGCTATGATTACAATCATAAGAAATTTCTGATAAATTTTGTCTAGTTGGTACTTTAAAAAAAGTACCAACAATTTTTTTAATAATTGTGAACAAATTACAAAAAGTTATAAAAATATGATATACCAGTTTTTGACAAAATTAAATTTTTATTTTCATAGTTTATAATTGCATTAATCAAAATAATAAAGTATTATTGATATTATTGATATTGAGTATCAGAGTATGAAGTTTATAATGGTTTTGATATTCTTGATTTTCTCAAATTATAGATGTTTTTTTTTTTTTTTTTTGTAAGTTAGAACATTAAAAGTTTAATTTATTATTTACTATAAATTTATCTTATTATTTAGTTCTTCTACTATATAAAATATCTTTAAAATTTTTCAGTCAAAATCATTATTTAGTAAGCAATGGTACACCAATTTTAAGTTTAAATTACCAATACAGCAGTACCATTCACTTATCCCTGTATCTTGTCCAATATAGAGTTTCACCCATCCAATAAGTATTATAATTTTTTCCAAAAAATATTATTTGTACATTCAAGTACTTATTTTATCTGCAAAATATTTTGCTCGGTTTACTGTACAATCTATTATGTCATTTGTTTTTTGTTTATTGTTGTATGAGTAGGTTTATTTAACTACAACATTTAACTGTAAATATTTATTTTAGTCAAGCCCAAAAAATAAAACAGGAAGTTGAAATTAGAATTCATAAATCACAATAAAATTTATCGTTATAAATAATAGTCTGTAATTCAAGCTAATACTTATATGTTTGTATTATGTGGATTATCTTTATAAATATTATATATATTATAATTAATATATATCTTTATTATCGGATTTATTTTCTTAATATGTTATTAAACTTTTTTTTTGTAGATACCTATTATTTAAGGATTTCATGAAAATTTAACATGTCAGTGTTATAGGATATTTTTAAACTCTATCATCTAATTCAAATTGAAAACTTTAAATATTCTTCCTATTGTAATTTTTTTGAATGTTATTTTTGAAATTAAAAATATAAATCTCTTATACTTGGGGCATGCTAAAACAATTATATCCTTGATAGTAATGTGGACTTAACAATAGTTATATTTTTATTAGAAATAAATTATTTTACCTACCTTTGCCTGTTCTTAAAATTAAAATGTCTTGATGGGATAAAAAATATATTTTTTAGTTTTTCAGATTACAAAATATGTCACTAATTTGTATTAACTATGTTAATACTTATGAGCTTTTACCATGTTTTATACTTACTGATAAAATTCATATATTACACCCACCTATTCACTTTCTAAAAATCTAAGATATGTATTTAGAAGATATTTTATATTTATAAAACATATGAAGAGTTATGGGGAAAAACGATCATAGTCATGTGTATGGTTTTTATTTTTAGTACATAATTTTATTATATCATTCATACATATTATATATATGTAACATAGTTAAAAAGTTAAAAGTAGGTATTTGAATTTTAGTTTTTGTTATTCATCATTTTATATATCATTAATAGTAATAAAATAATAAATAATATTATGCTTTACAATTACTTACTTAATCTAAGTTTTTAATTTAATTTTAATATTGAAATATATTTTTATGTTAAATAAAATGCTTATACTTCTTAAAATGTTTAGAGGTGCTTTTGGAAATTTAACCTCAGTAATATTTTAGTTGAAATTCTATGATTTTACTTATTCTACATCGAAATAATTTTAATATTAAAATATTGACATTAAAAGTATTTTAATTTATATTCTAACTATTCTTCTAGATAAGAATATCATGATAATCACATTTTAAATTGGTATTTAATAAATATATATTTTCAAATAAAAGATAATAAGATTTAGTCAACGAGAGACATATTGTGTTTGTTATTTGAGTTAGACTTATTATCTAGGATTAGACTCAGATAGGCTTTGGTGTAGGCTAAAATAAAGATATTTAAAGTATTCAAAATTACTGGTGAGTATGATTAACTTTTAAGGGTGGATGTTGTGTTTGTAGATTTGGACTCGTTTATTTGTATTTTCCAACGTTTGGTTGGTCTATAAATGAAATTTGTTCAGGTGTTGTTGGATCATATGAAAGACTGAAATTACCCAAAAATAAAACTATTTATATACTAACTACACATGTAATAGGAGGTGGTGGATAGTGAGAAATAATTTTTTTATTCCCAATTTAATTTTAGTTCAGCGCCATTGTTTATTAAGTATATAAAATAATTATACTTATAAATATTGTACTTAATCAAATTTTATTTCTCATAAATTAAATTTTTTTATTAATTATTATAGTGAAACAAGCATTGCATCAGCCAGAGCTTCTGTAATGATTTATGATGACAACAGCAAAAAATGGATTCCAAGTGGAACATCATCGGGTCTTAGTAAAGTACATATTTTTAAACATGTGATCAATAATACATTTCGTGTAGTTGGACGTAAACTACAAGACCATGAGGTAAAATTTTTATCTTAATAATATATCTAATACTCAAAATATTTTATTTGTAAATAAAAACAAATTTTGGCTGAGGTTTTTTAAAAATTATTAATTTTCTATTTGATTATACTATGACAACTTTTTTTTTTTTTTTAATTACCTTATAAAATTACAGTAGACATATTTATTTTACAACAATAAATATTTTTCACACACCAAAATTAATATTTAATGGCTTTTATTTTTATTTTTAAATCTCAATTGTTAAAATTGTGTTTTATTATTTAATATTTATCTCTTCCTAGTTATAATCTAAAGTAGGTTATCTAATCTAGTGTATTATAATTTCAATTCTAACTACTACGAATTATATTAAATGTTTTTATATTTTTTTAGGTTGTTATAAACTGTGTTATCTTAAAGACTCTAAAATATAATCAAGCAACAACTACATTCCATCAGTGGAGAGACAATAAACATGTATATGGTTTAAATTTTAGCAGCAAAGAAGATGCTGATTCCTTTGCTAGGGCCATGGTATATGCTCTAGAGGTATTTTATTGTCATTCAATAATAATGATTAGATGACAATTTACTGAGTGTAATTTTTTAATTTAGATTCTAGATTCTGTCTCCAGAAACAATATAAATAACCCTCATATCCATGTACCACCTCCTGCACCTCCAGTTTATCAGCAATCAAATGGCCAATACGATGAAGACATGGGATACAGGTATAATTGTATCACATAGTAACACTTTTTTAAATATTAACCAAATTTCTGTTACCTAATTACTTATTTAACTCAGAGATTGGTGTACAAATAATGTACCTAATCATTTCAGAAGCATGACAAAAGATGATGCTGCCATAATTCAAGAAAGAAGAATGTCCCAACAAAATCAGAGTGATTATGAATTTTTATATAATAATTTTATGAAGTTTAAATTACATTTATGATATATATACTAATACTTTATATAATAAATATATTATTCCAAATAGTAATTATTAAATGGTTTTATTTTAGTTACTAGCACAACAAATGGTTTACCAACAATTCCACCTACTCCTCCTCAATTACCCTCATCAGGTCATCACCGCACATCATCTGCTCCACCAGCACCAGTTCCTCCCCCACCGCCTCCTGGCATTATGTTAAACCCAGGACCAGGACCACCACAACCTCCTCCTATGCCTGGCAGTCTACTGAGACCCAGTAGTAACGGAGAACAAGATCATAGTGAACCTGTTGATCAAACATCTTCATTAGCAGTGCAGTTACAAGCTGCTCGTTTGAAACGTACCAACAAAGTATGTTTTTATTACTATTAAATCCTGTGAGAAAATCAATATTTATTTATATTTATTACATTTTAAAGCAGCATCCAACTGAAAACAGTGGCTCTTCAACAAGTAGTGCTGGTAGCACTACAACAAGTAGTGGTGGGAGTGGAAATTATGGAACCTTAGGTCGAAATGCTAATGGTGGTCAACCTGTTATGGCATCAATGATGGATGAAATGGCTCGTACATTAGCAAGACGTCGAGCTGCTGTTGAAAAGAAAGAACCAATTGAATGCCCTCAAGTAATTTAATTTTTATACTTAACTGTTAAATAATTTTTAATTATATTTTTTAAGCAATAATTTTTTAGTTCCTGAAGTCGGTCTGGTTTTTAAAAATAATTTAAAATATATTCATACTTTTATCATTGTAGTACCCATTGTCTTAAGTAAAATATTTCCTCAGGATGAAAGTGTATCACCCGGCGACAAAAAAAATTGGAATCGCAATGACAGTCAAAAAAGCTCATTGAATGGTTGTGAAAGTCCTAAGTTTGGTCGTAAACAATTATCTGCTACTTCCACTGAAGACTTGATTGCATCTAAATCTTTTGGGGACAGTTGTATATCAAATATATCTTTAGAGCTAGAGACATTAAAACAAGACATACTGCGTGAAATACGCAAGGAAATGAACCGAATGAAGTTAGACATCATTGAAAGTATGTATAATTTAAATTTAATCATTTTTCTGTTTAATTGAAAAACAATCTGTTTTATTATTGTCCTTATTATTTAATTATTGATGATAAAAACCCTTATTAGGGCTTGGAACAGATAATGTAAAATTATACTTATTAACTATGGTGAATACAGTAATATGATTATATTGTTTATATTCATTTTTTACTTAATTGGATTTTTATTACTGTTAATAATGCTCTAAGTTTTGATAACATTTTATTTATTTTCAGGCCTAAAAGTAGAAATAAGCAAAAGATAAGTGAACAACGATCTATGAAACAAGTATCAAGTTATTAATATCCATATTACAGTTTTATATTGATTCGATGCTTGTTATTTTTTCTATTAAGTGAACATTTTTGAACTGAATCTCATTTTATTACTGTTATATGATTTAGGAACACTTATAGATAATTATTGTAAACCTATTAATGATAAACTCATTTATAGCTACTTAATTTATACTTTCTTACATAATCAAGTTATTATGTAGAATATTTTTTATATCAAAATTGTTTTTTTTTTATGTGGGTGTAATCACCTTATAATTTAAGTGTGAACAATTTGTATTATATTATTATTTATGAAAATGAAAGAAAAAAATAAAATAAAAGCATGATCAACGTTTCATTTTATTTAATAATGTATGTATAGTCTTGCTGATCCAGATTATTGAATATTCGGATTACATAGAATGACCTTTTTTCAACTTCCTAATAAATATTTTTTTTTAAAAAAACCAGATTTATTAAAATTTAAAATGTTTATGTTAAATGGTCTACACAATCACCACTAAACGAAATAAAAAATTAACTAATTAACTGAAATTAGACACAATAATATCACGATATGTAATCAAAAGGATAAAATTTATCCAAGACTTCATACAAGGGTACTTCCCGAATAATTCCATTTCTTAAGAGGTACAAAGTATCAATAATATACGTATAATAGTTGACATATATATTACATTGATGTAAATAACATAAATAGTATTTATGTGTATGTATATATATATATATATATAAGTACTAAAATACTAAATATAAATTGTCCAAATTATCCAAGAATTTGGACTAAAATGATTCAATCCGAGAGAATACAGTAGATATTAAAGTTTTTTTTTTTTTTATGATTTCCATTAGCTTCATATTGAAACATTGATAAGGTAATTTAAAGTGCTGAAGTTATTATAAATTTTAATATGAAACCATGACCAACATTTGATATGCTCAAGATAATATATCTTAAATAAATACAATTTTGATGAATATCATTAATAAACAGTGATACACTATTACATGGACTTTAGGAGAACCATTACCATACGCAATTTAACTTACTACATAACGAATACATTATCATTTTCGATTAAAATAACTATGTTTTCATAGATTTTTATTTCATTATATAATTTTTAAAAGAATCCTGGTAGACCGGTTGCTATAGTATATGTAGAAGAAAATTTAAAATTTTTTAAAATGTTATTCCAAAATATTCGTACATTTTTATTGTTAACACTGATGTCATAATATGTAAATTTTTTTTTAATATAAATTTGTTTTTTAAAAATATAAATTAAAAAGATATTAATACATTTATAATATATAAATGTTATTACAATATAATGAAAATGTTACAAAATATTTTTGATGAACGTAAATTTTTTAATTAATTTGAATATAATTTGCCAATGAACTATAGTGAATTTAAAATACAAAAAGGAATGCAATTGTTATTATTATAAGATTGCCATTGCTTAGGGCAAGTTTTAAAAAATTTAAGATTTATTGGTAAAATATATTAACAAAAGCAAGTTTTATTAACTTTTTTATGAATAAGGTTTAAAAATAATTTATTCTTTCATTGTTTCTTCGGTTGGCGCAGCTGATTGTTTTGTTGATCCATCATCTCCCTTTTTCTTTGTTCCTGATACAATATCATCAATGCGTAGTAACAAAATTGAAGTTTCAACAGCTGTTTTAAATACTTGAGCTTTAACTGCAATTGGTTCCCATATCTTTAGATCCTTCATATTAGCTATTTCTCCAGTATCACCATTAATACCCCAAAATTCGTTGCCTCTGATAGCTTGCTTTGCCCTTAAAGACGTCATGGTTCTTATAGTGCTAACACCACAATTTTGTAAAAGAGTACGAGGTATGACTTCTAATGCTTGCGCAACTGCTTTATAAGGCCACTGCTCAACACCAGCTATAAGAGAACTTTTCTTTGTTAATGCTTGTGATATGGCCATTTCAATGGAACCACCTCCAGTTACCAGTCTTGGGTTCAACATAATATTTTTAGTCACATGTAAAGCGTCTTGCAAATTCCTTTCAACTTCATTCAATATATCTTTGCTTGGTCCTCTAAGTAATATAGTACAGGCTTTTGGGTTGATACACTCCGTAATAAATGTAAAATACTCATCACCAATCTTTTTAACTTCAAAGCGACCAGCACCTGTACCAACATGGTGTTCACTAAGCTCATCTGTACGTGTCACAATCGTAGCATTACATGCTCTTGCAACACGATTATTATCAGATTTCCTTAAACGTCTTAAAACTGATATATTTGCTTTCATTAAAAAATGCTGTGCTATATCAGATACTCCTTTTTCAGTACACACTAAATCTGGTTTCAGTGCTATAATATCAGCACAAATTTTTTGAACGTATTCTTCTTCAAGCTGTAATAATTTTGTGAAATCGGTTTCATTGACAATTTCAACATCTGTTTGGCTCTCTCCCTTTTTGAACTCCAAAGAACAATCCAAAAGAATAATTCTTGGATTTTTTATTAATCGTTTCATCTTAGGATGGGTAACATCTTTATTCAACATAATACCATTTAATACTACAGAATCTTCAATTGTTCCGCCTGGCACTTTTTCAACTTTGGCATACCTTTTAATGTCTATTTCTGTAAGCCCATCTTCATTTATTTTTACCATTTTGACAGCATTCAAAGCAATGCTACATGCTAAATCAGACCAACGGCCAATAAATTTAGTACCAACACATGATTGAATTACTTCAATCAGTTTCGTTTCATCATCCATAGATAATGGAATACTGTATTCATTATCTAAAAGATATAATATGTCTTCTAAAGCTTGGCGGTATGCCCTAATGATAACTGTAGGATGGATTTTTTGCTCCAAAAATTGTTCAGCAATCCCTAAAATTTCACCAGCAAGAACTACTACTGATGTAGTACCATCACCAACTTCTTCATCCTGGGTACGAGCTATTTCAATAAATGATTTAGCAGCTGGATGTTGAACAGTTATTTCTCGCAAAATTGCATTTCCATCATTTGTCATCACAATCCCACCCATTGGGTCCATTAACATTTTTAGCATAGCTCTGGGACCAATGCAAGTACGTACTACATCAGCAATTGCTTTACCTGAAATTAATATAAAAATTGTATAGCAAGTAATGATAATGATAAGTAATAATTAAAATATAAATTTAAAAAACTAATCAACAAATAAATTGAATTAACAAATATAATTATAATACAGTTTCTTGAAAGTTCAACAAGAAATCTATAGCACCACTTTCCTAGTGTTCTTAACAACAATACTAAAAATAAATAGTAGAAGATTTAGATTACTAATAATATAAATATTATATAATATATTATAAACAAATTAGTCAATAATTTAGACATTTATTTTTATTTAGAAATTAAATTATTTAGTATTTATATTTTTAATAATTAAAATGGCTTTTTTTCTAATCTTATTTTTTCAAAATTAATATTAAAAATAAAATAAAACTTGAAAATTCTATACACAGTTATCAAATATTAAAACTAAGCAATTTAATTCTTAAGATATGACAGCTGAAATCATTTATTAAAATACTTTATGTAATGATATTCTGGATAAAACAATTCCCTACTGTGTATTTGGTTAATTTTATAACTTGTGAGAAATAATCTTGGTCATATGTATATAACAACATTGGTTCAAATAATAATCCAGGTATAAAAATTTTATTTTGAAACTGAGAATTGTTTTTATATTTCCCTATAACAATAAAGTTAATATTAAGAGATTTGGGTGGTCAAGTATTCTGAGGATAATTAATAATAATTCAAATGAGCCTCAACTATATATTACACTTAAACTTGTAAAATGTAATAATATGATAAAAAAATTCAAAATATACAATCAATATTTCAGTCAAAAATAAAAAAAAGCATAGAATGGAGTGCATTTTAAAAAAATAATTTTTTTCTTTTTCCCAACAAATGCACTTCTAATACACACAATAACCCCTCATTGATATATTCTACAAGACCTACAACTGTTATAAATTTTCTTATGTTATATGGTTTAAAATATAATACCTAATAAATAAAAAAAAAAAATTGTTAAATGAATCAATTTTTATAGAAAATATTTTTTTTTTCGCTATAGGAATACAACAATCTGATTTTCTAGATCCCTTCAAGACCGTTAAAAGCGAATTAAACTGCATTATCATATTTTACATTAAATGGAAATAATGGAACATTTTTTTTATTATTTACATATTCTTGTTATACTACATCTAGTATGAAAGTTGTGTTCATACCATCATTGATAATTTAATTAAAAAGAATGTTAAAGGCAAATATTGTGATTTGTGGTTCAGCACAAAAGAAAAGTGTTAAAAATTAAACGAATTAATACACATTAAGAAACAAAAACAAAACACATTTTTACCTGCTGCTATGTTTTCAAGTTGAACCCTATGACCAAACTTCCTTTTGGTGTTGGTGTTCAACACCATAATTTGACCACCGTTCATGATGTACGTTAGAGTTTACACGAGTTGACTATGAAAAAATATTATTGAAATCCGCCGGCGTGCGCAAGATGAAATTTCCTAACCGCACAGAATGATATCGACGATAAACGCGAAACGAGTTTCCGTTCACAAAAGCATGGGCCCGCGAACTATCGAATCGCGCGATAGTTTTTCCGATTGTTTCCATTTGGTATACCCGTAAACTACGACTTCCGGACGGAAATTAAATTACAGAAAATTAACGGAGCGACGTTTACGGCGGGCGAGTGGTAGCGAGATGCGTTTCAAAATTTTCTCAAGTCCGTAGACTCGGTGAACGTTGATAATCTGTTAATGATATGCGAACATCGATAGCCGACCAACGGAAGTTCGTGTGTTTTGTATATTCGTTATCACCCATCCAGACCCGTTCGTATGTTTTTTTATCGCACACCCCGTTGCGGGGAAGGGAGTCGGCGGTCAGAACCCCCCCCCCCCCCATGAACCTGAGATGGTAAATTAACTTTTACATGAACACAGTTTTTTCTATAACATTTTTATATTATAGAATTTTGACTTGGAAATCATATTAATAGTTTGTATAAACACTTTAAACGTATTATAAACACGCTGCACACACACACACACAGACACAAGTCATAATATTATGATCATATTTAAAAACTTTACTACTACTTTGATGATACTACTTTTTGCATGGGAACATATTATTTAGGTTTTCTTCAACTGTTGATTCTAAATCGGTCGTCTGGTCCCGATAACTGACATAAAAGCGATATCATTTTCTGTATTCAAAGTTTATTTTAGGTATACCTATTACATTCGCGGCTCGCTGATCAAGCACCTTATTGTGTAAACTAATAGTTAGTCGTTGCCCGTTGGTGTCTCACTGTTTTACTTACTACTCGTTTATTCGTTTATATTTGACATTTATATTCCATTATATTTGTTTTATTTTAATTTCACATCATTCTAAGACGTCTAAACATTCCATTATGGTAAAATATTTTTAAAATTTAATTTTTAGTATACCTAAGTAGTTGGACAGAAAATATTCTAATATATAATATTTATGTTCCTATATTAGTTCCTAAATTGTTATTATTATTATTATTTATTATTATAGGCAAATTAGGCAAATTATCTAACAAATAAGCAGACTAGAAAAATTAACTATTTTTTTTTACCGGAGTCAAAAAAACTAATGTTAATCAGACTTATAAATACCGAGATCAATACAAATAGTAGTTAAAATGATAGTGATAAGATTAAATATCTATACATTTGCTGACCCCCCCCCCCCATAAAAAGTTCCTGACTACGCCACTACGCACATCCGCTACCGTCCGACTTCTAACCGCAATAAAATTTTCATCTATCGAATATTTGATTTCACCGTACAGCGATAGATACGCACTGATGAGACTAATTGTTTTAATTAAAATAACAGTAATGCACGATGTTATGAATGCAATTTGATCATCTGAGTTTATACTGGATGTCATCGACTGCAATATAGGTGGACATTAAGTCTTAAATTTGGGTAGGTGTGCCCGGCATTATTTTACAATATTGAACGAAAACTTTAAATGAATTCACCCGCTTTGTGCATTTTTTTTCTTTAGTTCATGCTTTTCTTCTACATGACGGTACATAGAAAAGACAAAAATTAAAATATTTTAAGTATTGTAGTATCACGTGATATACGTAATGTTATAGATTGTATTAATTATGAATATTATATGTAGATTGTATAGTAGTTGAAATAACCTTGTTATAGATTAATCACATCACGCGATTAATCTAATAATATGAATTGTATTGATATTGTTAATTAACATTAGTATAAAAGGGAAACTTATGTTATTCGGGTTCTCACTTCTAACTTGCATCTTGTAAAGATTAAATTAATCGGTATGTAGAGAACTGCAGTCTAAAACTTTTCTCGTGTAAAAATTATTGAAGTATTACATAGTAATTCAAATCGTCATTGTTTTATTATATTTAATTAATTTAGTTAGCCTATTCGACGGTCTTACTACAGTATTCAACTTGTTTGTATTTCACTTGTTTAAAAACCAATACTATAACCTATTATTGTATAATATTTACCTGTATAGATGTTGATTATATACAATGTAATAAAGTGTATATCTAACATGTAAGTATTAATTGTAATCAGTGGCATAAACAAGGCAGGTGTTTTGGGTGTCTAGGCACTCCCCTTGAATTTATAGAAATTTTATTCGATGACTGTTAAACATTTTTTTGAAATTTATAATGTTCAACTGCCATCATATTTTATTTATAACGTTTAATAGAACACATTGTAATACTAATATGGCAGTTGAATGTAAATTATTAAGTATACTTATAAATGTACCTACAGTAGAACCCCTTTAATCTATCGCCTTCGTGACTGGGGGTATGGTCGGAACGCGAAAAAGGTCGAATTATCAGAATATAAAGAAACATTTGAAGACAAATGTTACTACATTTATTTATTAAATTATTTTAAATATTATTTTTAATTACATACATATATTAAATTAAATATATAAAAAGTAGATAAATAGTAAACAGGCAATTAATTTTATAATTATATCTAGCCACAACTATAAGTTGGAAAATTTATATTCATATCGATAATACTATGATCGGATCAAACGGAGTGGCGGACTAGACAAGGGCAGACGAGAGGAGTTCTATTGTTATTACTTTAATTCATATAGTATATAAAACAAATACTGAAATGTATGATTAATTATCGTGTAAATAAACATATTATTACAACCGCGTAAACTATTATATTATTAAGACAATAACGATAATCACTAGTGTGAATTTTTTTCAATAAATCGGTAATTCACTTGCCACCTGGAAATACCTCACGAATGGGTAATACACTAATATCTTATATTTTTATTTATTGTTGTTAAAAGCTGGATAAAAAAGCTGGATAGTATAATATTTGTATGCAAGGCCGTATCTAGAAATTTTTTTTGGGAGGGGTTCACAATATGTATATTATAATTTTATTGAATTTAGATTTTAACTTTTAATATTTGGTTGAAAATAAAACAGAAAAAGATTTAATCTTCTTTTATTAAAATGAATATCATATTTGTTTGGGCCGAAACGATTATGAAAGGATCAGTCACAATGACATGATAAAAAAAAAAAATAGCACAATGGTAATAATAGTTTTGCGCCCAACTTTGTATGAGTTAGGCTATTTCTCTGAGCGCCGTTTTAAATGCTTGATAGGCAACCTTATCATCAATCTCACTGGGCGGCGGCTACGATAACGCTGACGGAGGAACGGAAACAAATAATTAGCACAATAGGAAATAAAAAATAGAGTTTAGTTATTGAGGGGGAGATCTCTGTGGTTGAATCGGTCTGGTGCAATGACCACAGAGCTCACACACAAATCGAACAAATACCTTGTTAATCAAACATTCAAATCACAACTTAAATTACTTGATGACATGGTGAATATGGACAAAAATGGTAACTGACAGTAACTGTGATAATGGCAATCGACGTTCTGGACGGCCTTAAGTCACATCGGCCAGAATAAAAATAATAAAAATGTTGCCATAATGGCAGAAGAAAAAAACGTATAATAATAATAAGTTGCCGCAATGATGAACAAAAACAAAACAAAAATACGATACGTGTTGCTGTAAGAACGAATGATAATACAAATTAAAATAATAAATAAAAATAAAAATCAATAATAAAATTAAGAATAAATCAATGAAGAATAATTTTTTATTCAAATAATCAATCGAATAATATTTTATTCGACTAACGCCCAACTTTGTCTACTATAAACATATTATATTAAGTTATTATTTATATTTACATTTTACATTTACTTAATATATTATTTAAATGTATATTTTCAACTATTTTTGTTATTTTGTTTATTAATAATGTCTAAATATGTACATTTGAGTGGAAGTTTAAAAAGGAAATTAAAAAAACAACGCGTAGAAAAAGAAAAACTACTCCCATGAATAAATGATTTTTTGAATAGAGATGCTCTTGAAAATAATTCAAGTTTAAGTATGACTGTAAAATCTACGCCTACGGAAACAACTGATATTGTGAGTAGTTTTAAATAACCAGTCGTTAATAATTTAAATAAAATAAATGTTATACTAAAATATAAAACCGAATTGTTGTTTATTCAGTTATTCAGTACTATTTGGCCAAGTCGAGAGTACCGATAAAGTGAACGTATTTTAGTATTATAGCTTAAAATTTAAAAGCTAATATTTTTATTTTTTTTTTTTTTTTATTGATAGGCATAATCATTAATTTTATCTACGCTTTCGACTATTCAAATTTCTAATATTAATAAAAATTTCGAAAAAACAACAATTATAGATTGTGTAAATTATGAAACTGAATGTTCAATAAACCAGGATTTATCAGAAGCGATACAGTCAATGACCATTGGAGATTTTCCAAACGACAAAGCTTTTTTGGAGGTAAGTCATGAACGTATTATAAATGTTACTCTGGCGCTAGGATAACTCAAACCTAGGATTTCAAAATCTATCATTTCCAGGTTACAATGAAAAAATTGACAGGGAAAAACATGGTAACTTCTTAGCAGTCATCGATCTTCTTGCGATGTATAACCTTATAATCGGAACTTTTATAAGGAGGATCTAAGAAAATCAATTATTTAAGTGCCATTATACAAAATTAAATAATTGATATGATTGCTAAATGTGTAGAAAAATCTATAATTTCTGATGTACAAAAAATTTCGTTTTTTTCATACATAACTAATACCATACTAGACATTAGAAAACAGGATCAAATGAGTCAAATAGTTCACTATGTAGTCATTGAAAAAATGAAGACAATAAACCGATCAAACTTAGGATAAAGGAATCATTTCTCGGATTTTGTTTATTAAATGATCCGGATTTGCCGATCAAATAGTAGAAAATATAAAAATGATGGATTAGATATTAGTAAATTACGCGGACAAAGCTATGACGGAGCAGCTGTTATGGCTGGAATTTATAACGGTGTCCAAACAAAAATAAAAGCTCATTGTCCTTTTGCAGAATATATTTACTGTAACGCCCATAATTTGATCTTGGTTTTAAATGATACTATGATTGCCTCAAATGAAATTCAAAATGTTTTTTCCATTATACAAAAACTATGTGTTTATTTTGCATTAAGTGGAAAACGCTGGAATATTTTAACTGACATTTTACCAGTTAATGAAGCAACACTTAAAAAAGTTTGCTCTACCAGGTGGTCATCACGCTATCAAGCTATTTCTCCAATTCGATTAATTTTCTAAATATTTTAAAAGCTTTAACAAAAATAGTATTATTGTCTAAAAATAAAAACGAAATTTCAGAAGCTAAATAACTTGTCAAAAGTCTTGAAAGTTTCAGCTTTGTATTAACATTGGTATTTGTAAGTACTATTCTAAAAAAAGTAAATGGTGTCTCACAATTGCTACAACAGAGAGATATTGATCTTCACAAAGCTACAGGACTACTACAAACATTTACAAGTAATTTAAAAATGATAAGAGGAAATTTTTTGGAATTTTTCTCAAAAGCTACAAATCTTTCGAAAACATGGGGCATAACACCAACATTTAAAAACCAAAGACGTAACAAAAAAAAGTTTTTTTTTGATGAACTTTGTCAAGACCAAAGATTAGAATCACCTAGAAAAAATTTTTTAAGTTGAAATATTTAATATAATACTTGATCGTGATATCAATGAAATGGAACGTAGATTTCAAAGTTTTAATTACATTTCTCACTTTTTTAAATGTTTATAACCGATTTCATTATCTGAACTAAACGACGAGGAACTATACAAGGAAGCAGAAATACTACAAAAAAAGTATGATCACGATATTTCTCTAGACTTTGTTCATCAGATTCTATCTTTCCGATCATGTTATATGATATAATATTGAACAAGTCAAAAACAACAAAAGAAATTGCAGAAATGTTATTAATTGAACATTCTCCTCTTATAACAACATACCCTAATGTATGCATTGCTTTTATTTTGTATTTGACGTTACCCATTAAAGTTTCAGCAGCAGAGCGATCGTTCTCAAAACTAAAAATAACAAAAAATTATTTATGGAGTACGATGGCAGAGGAACGACTGAGTGATTAAGCAAATATTTCCATTGAGAATGGGCGAGTACGGCAATTGAATTTAGAAGAAGTAATTAACAAGTTTGCTCAAATTAAATCTCGAAAAGTTAATTTTCAAGTATAATACTATAATATAATATGTTTTTATTAACAAAATATGTAATAAATAATAAAATAATAAATATATTTTATAATTATTATTAGCTCATGATGAATCACTATTTAATAATTTATATTTGTATTATAATTAAATTTCTGTGTTAAAGGGAGCCTCTGTCTCTTATGACCCTAAGGCCACCAAGTTTCTCACAACGCCATTGCAATTGTTGCAAAAATTATTTTAGGATATTAATTCCAAATTATTTCCCTAGCTTGACTGTGAGCTTTACAATTTTTTATTTTTGAATTCATTATAAAAAAAACTATTTATTTTATAGCGTACGTTTTCAGTATAAAAGAACACGAACACAATACTGGCATTAATGAGTAAATATCCATCTATATTAGTATATACCATAATGTCCATATCTATTAATATTTAATATTGTTATTGGTCAGCCAAGTCATTTATTTTTCTACATTTATAATAAACAAATTGTTGATGCGATTGAAGTGCGTCGCGCGGTCGAAACACACCGAGTTCGAACTGATGACTGTGCACGTCGTAGTCAACTGTGTAACCTTAGACTTCACTGCCAGCGACTAATTTGGGTTACACTTCATGAAAAGCACCGCCGCCGCCGTTTCAATTTATCTGGCAACGACTGTACTCTGTTCATGTTTTTTTATGTTTACATTTGTAAATGTAATGTAATTATTGAACTAAATAGTAAATAAAAGCTACTTAAAAAAAAAAAAAAAAATAAAAATAGGATAATCATAAAACACTAAACATAAAAGTACATTTATATTAAAAAGACTAAAAAGACTTGTATTCTTTAACATAACAGATTTAAATATATACATTCTACATTTTTGGATTTAACGGATTAAAAAAAATAATCATAAATATATATATATAACTTTATTGTTTGTAAAAATTACATTCTATGAGGGACATGCTTGACATTAAAAATATAACTTTATTTAAAAAGATAAAAATCATATTAATACTTAATAATATTAAAATTAAACTAATAATTACTTTAAATTTGAGATTAAAAACAAAGTTAAATATAACTTTACATACACATTTTTAACATACAATTATAATATTAAAAATAATATAACTTGTTTATGAGTCATGTTTTTTACCATTAAAAGATATTTGGTGTAGCAATGATTAATAAACTCTAAAGTAATGTGAAGTAATATAATTACTGAATAGATAAATAATAATTGCATCATTATTATTTTTATTATTAACTTTCTATTTGATTGTTAAGTTTTGGTGTTTTTAGAATATAAAACATTAATACTACAAATTTTGGACATTTTATACAAATTACTCAGTTCTGTTCTAAAAATTAAACAATGAAAAATGTATGGCATTCATTTTAGGCACATGAAAATCTGATATTTAAATTTAGCACCAATGTATTTTTATAATTACTTTATAAAACAATGTTTAATTTTAAATTATTCTCTATGGCATTAAATAAAAATACTGATTAAAAAGTTCGAGATTCAAAATTTAGTTTTGAAATTATATTAAATCTATTATGTGAATATTTAATAAATAGGTGCTAAATATCAAAATTACCATGGAATATCTAGTAAAAAAAAAAAAAAACATCACATTTTAAAAATGAATAACATTAGTTTTAAGTTATTATTATTGTTCCATAACTTTTTTTTTTAAATGAAATTTTGGTATATAACATATTATAGAATAAATAAAATAATGACATAGTATTCATTTTTAAAAGTATAAAAATAAATAAATAATAATAAAAATAGTTGATATGAACAATAACTTTTACAATAATTAAAAAATATAATTATCAGTTTGAACAGTTCTAGATAATCAACTTGAGCACATATACTTTGTATCCCAATAGGTAGGGTTCGAATTAGATTGTAGTGAGGATACAGAATAAGACATATTCATTTTATTATCTAAATTAATCACAGATTGATGAATATTAACAAAGGCAAACATGTCTTCTATAAAATGTAAATACGTCTCAGTTGAATTTTATTGAGTCTTAAGATTGTATGCGCCATGAAAATTACCTTCAGAAGGTATTTGTGGCACTCTGGTACCACGGCGTATAAGAAGTCGTACACAAGACCCACCACTGTGAATGATTTCTATGGCTTCAGCGTGCGTCATGTTTTTAGTATTGACTCCATTGATCTCTATAATATGATCTCCAACCTGATATCATAAAAAAAGTTAACATGTTTTGTTATATTTCCGAAGCATTAAAATTACTAAGTAAATATTTAATTATTTATACCCTTAAACGTCCATCCATAGCGGCTGGTCCATTCTCAGCAATTTGCAATACAAATAGAGACATATTTTGGAATTCTCTACCACCACGAATACTAAAACCAAATCCTTGAGGGCCTCTTGATAATTCTACTGCATGATATTGTTCCTCTTCTAAGTCTTGATCCTGATAAAATTAAAAATAAATAAATTTATGATGTCTAACTATACAAAATTTATAATAAAACTTTATACTTTATTTGACATTGGTAAAGAAACAATACTAGCAGTATCATCTGTAAATAAAATATTTTTATTATGTACAAAATGTGTCAAACAATATAATTTATTTTTAATATATGTAAAGATTAAATTTACCATTAGGTGGTCCAATAGTTAATGTAACAGTTGAACCAGAATCTTTAATCATGTTAACTATATCACCATGAGATAAATTAGTTATGTTTGTATTGTTGACAGCAAGGACATGATCTCCCACATGGATTTGGCCATCTCTAAAGGCAGGACTACCTTCAATAATACGGCCTATAATAATACATAGAAACTAATTTATTAAAAATGCAAATTAAAACAGTTTTAAAATTATTATAATTACCAATAGTCGGGCCTTTATTTAATGATGATATTACTACAAAACCAAATCCTTCTTTATCTTTTTTAGTTAATGTTACATCATAAGGATATTCAATATCTAGATGTCGTTTTAAAGGAATTGAAACGTCTATTTAAAAAAATGTAACTCATCATTACAAGTTTAAATGTTTTAATTTGTAATATACTTACAATTAGGTTTCAAGTTCGATTTGATATGCCGAATACCCAATGTTACTCGACCACTCCTAGCTGCTTGTCCCATTAAATTTATTACATAATCATGAGACGTGTTTAGAGTAGATTGACCATCAATACTTATGATTTCATCTCCAGTCATTATTCTTCTGTCCAAATCTGCAGATCCTCCAGGAACAATGTGACCAACAGATACCTTAAACACGGGGAAAATATATAATGAAAGACACGCAAAGTAAATTTCAATATAATAAATACGGTATTTTAATTAAGAGCTTAAATATATAGCTAACTTAACAATTTACAGAAATATTCAAAATTTTAATTTATTATTATTTTATGCATCAATTTAAAAATTAGTTAAAAATACATTACGTTTAGGCAATTTTATATGATGTCTTAAAATTTATGAAAAATAGCATAGTAAAAACTATTGCATTTTTAATTTTATACATAATATTTTAATGAGATGTACGAATTGTATTTAAAAACATAAAAAATTATAAAGGAAAATGTAATTATTGTTATTCTTTTAATTTAATTTATGAATAAATTACCTGTGAGCCTTCTTCTTTTCCACCAACGATTCGGAATCCAAAACCACATTCTTGTCTTTGAAGTGTAACATAACTGATATTTGATTTTAAATTTTCATTATTAAGTTGATCAATTTCATTTATTTCATTGTTGTTATGTAAATACCTTATAAAAAATATATATATATTAATACAGCTTCACATAATAAAGATTTAAACAATGAATATTTACCTCACTTTGTTTTTGGAAGCATTAATTTCATAATGTTCAAAGCTCATGTTTTGAATTGATTTGGATAAATGGTTAGAATAATTATCTGGTTGTGAGTTCATATAGAGTCCAGCTGAATGATCAGGTGGATTAATATAATGTCCAATTGAAGGATCAATTACTCCATTATATAATGAAGTGGGAATATACATTTGAGCTGGTGGCGAATTTGTATGCATCCATGAATTATCATCTCTATGACAATATTCATCAAGCGGTAAGCTATTATTCATTACGTAAGTATCTGATGAACCATTTTCAAGCAAATTATTGGGAATTTTAGAAATTTGTGTTCGGTTATCAATAATGGGAGTTTTAGCTCTATTGACTTCATGTGATCGATCACCATATGAATCCATAGTGGGAGTTTTGCTTCTATACATATTTTTAACATCCTTTTTGTTTTTTACACGGAATTTATCAGGGGAATTTTGAATACAACGTTGAATAGTAATATTAGCTGCTTCATTAGTTAAACAGTCTTTTAACACTTGAACTACTTTATTATGAGACATATTACGTACAATTATATTGTTTATATCAATTAAAATATCTCCTTCCATTAACTCTTGACATCTTTGTTTATCCAATATTTTTTTTACCTGGAATATAAACATTTAATTTAAGTTAAAATACATAGTAATAAAAAATTATTAATATTACCTTTTGTCCATGAGCACTGTCTGCTATTGTAAACCCAAAACCCATTGCACCTTTTACAATTGACATTGTTAAATATAGTGGTGCAGGCATGTGTTCTTCTAATATAAGATCAGTACTATTGGGTCTTGCAATACTCATAATTTCTTCCGAGGCATATAAATCAGGCATTGATTTTACAGATTGATTGCAAAGTTCATTAGAAGTAGATCTATTACCAACTTTCATCATGTATAATTCCCTATCAACATATGATAAATCATCCAATTGTCGATCTGTAAATTGAAAAAATATACATAATTAATATAATTAATTTTTTTTCTCTAAGGGTGACCAGACACTGGTAAAGAAAAACTGCCTTAAAGTGCCTAAAAGCGCTTTATTGTGACTTATTAATAATATAACATTTATATTTTATGCAAAACACGCACACTGATAAAGCCCAGTCAAAACAAAACATTTTAGACTTTAGTCATGACTAATATTGCATTATTGAAATAGAACATGTGCTATTTTGATTAGTCATAATCAAGCAGTCACTGGATGGTTATATTAAAATGATGCCAACAATTATTTGTTTATGCTAAACTGTCTACAATATAAAGGTAATTATATTATATTTATAAATGTACATATTTTGACATATACTATACGAATCATCTGAAAAGTTTTAAAAATTAAGTAAACAAGTAGAAGGTACCATATTATGTGTATAAAATTTTTATTTATTTTATTCAATAGGCTTATAAAATGTCTGTTGAGCATGAAATTTATCTCAAAAATGTAATATCGTTAGTCCAAGAGCATCAGTCTCTTTATGATTACAAAAACAAAATTTATTTTCTTCCTGTTCAATTTATTTTGAAAGAAACCATAAAATAGGAATAGCAACGTCCTCCTCGCCTAACGACTGGTTTTACTTTGATTTGACTAACTATGTTTTATTTAGTGTGCGATGATAATGCTTTATTTTGACTAAAAGCAAAATGACTAAACATGACTTAAATTCCTTCAGTCAATTTGGCTTTACCAGTATGCGGTTAGCCTAACTGGTTATTTCATATTTTTTTTCAGAAAAAAAATTATTACATAAATTAGATAAATATATATAAAAAAAATTACCTGAATTTCCAACCGCAACAGTTGTTACAACTTCAGTATTAGGATCATTAGGATCAAATGGTAAAGGATAACCTCTACATACATCCAAACAAACAGTTTCACCTGGAACTATCCCTTGAAAAACACTAACCATATCATGGTGTGTATATCCAAGCACACATTTTTCATTTACATAAACAAGAACATCACCTAAAATTATTTTTCAAATTAAATGTATATTATATAATTTAAAATTTTGAAAAGTTATTATATTGGTAAACACAAAAGTTTTCTCACTTTCATTAATTACTTATGAAACAAATCTTATAAAACAAATGTATGATGATTGACACCAACACAATGGAATTTTTATTTACTGTAGTATCCAATAAATAAATGATTTATTTAATAATAATAATAATACTTTGTATTTTATTTCACCTGTTTGTAATTTTCCTTCTAACCATGCTGGTCCATTAGGAACAACAGATTTAATTTGAAGAAATTCTTCTTTAGAATCGTCTCCGCCAACAATAGTAAATCCTAATCCTCGAATTGATTTTACAAGAGTTGAACGAATTCGTTCACCAACCAGTTTATGTGGATTAGTAGTAAACAAATTACTACTAACACCTGAATCTAAAACAAGAAATATACAAATATTTATGAACATTCAATTTTAAATTATTATTCCTTTTTATTTTTAGATGGAAATGAACAAACCTCGTTTTATTGAGTTAATATTTTCAAAACTATTTGAAGGGTAATTAGGAATATTATCTTGTTCATCATTAATTTGATCATCTGAAAAACAAAAATGACTAATAAATTATAGCAGTTTTTTGTTTAAACAATAAATTAAATATACCATGTCTAGCGTTTTTAGCTTGAAGAACTGGGTTTTCATATTGTGTTTGTCTATTTACATGATCAATATAATATGTCCCATAAAGTGGATCATCAATTCGTTCCCAACCATATGGCAGTTCATCATCAGAGCAGTCTTCTAATTGTTTCTTTTGAAACTTTGATAACCTTGGATCTAACCAATGTGATGTACTAGAATTATGACTATAATAAATATGAATACAAATAATTAATAGAATAGGTAGTTAATGTATATCATTTAAGTATAATTTTTATTATTTTGAAAACGTTTAGAATAAATTTACAATAAAACATTTATGACTAATATTGAAATATACGTCAAAATAACTTACTCTATGAAATAAACTTCTCCGTTTTTAGTATAAGCTTTCTCCCATTTTGGTGGAAGTGGTCCTAGATCTAAAGTATCAGATAATGTAGAATCTCTTGAATGGTTATAGGCTAAATTATTTCCGCTGGGCCCATTTAAGTATTCTTCTATAATCAATAAATTTTAAAAATAAAACAATAATAATATACTTATACTGAGTTAAATAAAAATAATAAATTAATATTATTTTACTTTAATTCAGAATAGTATGAATTTATTTTATTATTATCAAAAGTTCTACTTAAATATAAAAAAAATAAAAATATTTCAACTGTAAAATTGATCAAAAATTCATGAAAATATTTTCAGTCATTATATACATAAAATATATAGTACATATTTTATCAACATCAATATAGGTAATTAATTTAAAAATATAAAATTGAAAGTGAAAAATGATAAATTGTAAAGCAGCCCTCACACGATCAATATTACTGACAGTACTTGGACTTACTGACAGTTTAGTCCTAAAAAGGTCAGTAAAAATTAGTGTCAATTTGCAATATTGATCTGTGTTTTGATTTCGTTTTTTTGTGGGTGTACCTGAATTTCAGCTTACGTCACTCATGGTTGCGAAAATTTACTGAGGAGCTGTCATTATCCACCACAAATGGTCAATATCTTTATCGATAAATAAATACTAATAACTCGATATTCAAATTTTTCATCACTCATCAATATTGTTTTTTTCATATGGACAGAACACCAGTACTCGCATTACATGATCAATAATATTTTCAATTATATTGATTGTGTAAGGGCCGCTTTAATAATAAAAATAAATCTATAATAAAAATGTACCAAGATATTTCATATATCAAGCCAATTAAAATTGTTAAAAATTATTGGATTATAATTAAAATTGATAACTTCATAATGTTGAATAATAGTATTAATTATTTTAATATTGTTATTAATAAATTAAAACAAAGACATTAAAAAATTATACTACATTAACAGTAATATTTGTTTAACTTAATTTAAATAGCATTAAAAAAAATAAACATTTCATAAATATTAGATAATTTAATAATTATAGATAAAAAATGAATATAGGCATAATATAGTCTCATATTATTATATTCATAAATAAAATTGAAAAGTATGACTCACCGTTATTCATAGAATGTTGTTGAAGTTTGTCTTGTATATTATCCATACTCATGGTATTTAATAATATTGTATCTTTTCATCTGATCATAAACACATTCTATACTGAAAGGCAATGGTTTATGTAGGCAAGCACTTCTTTAAATAATATTACAGTGATATCAAATTTGTAATGATACATGATGATTGCCTAGTTAAAAGATAAAAATAAAAATATTTTTTATCTAACAACTAATTTTTTTTTAATTTATTTTTGCTATCTTCACTATTTTAAATATAATTTTATCAATTATTTTAATATTTATAATATTTTAATTTTTACATTTAAATTATTTCAATATTACGAAACACTGAATATGACATTACAATCCAACTAACATTAAGCAAATTATACCTACATATTAGATTTTCTTTTTCAGCATTTTATACAAAGCACCCTTATATAAATAAATTCCAAAAGAAATACTAATATAATAAATGTAAACATAAATGTGTCTGATAAAAAAAATAAATCATTAAACAACAATAATTACGATAACTGGATTTAGTTTTTATTTAAATCAGCTACACAATAATGTTATGATGTCATTAATGTCGTTTGTTTTTGATATGAAATTAAATATTCAGAACAAATTACATCATTTTGGGCGTATATCATACTATGACGCTAAATGCAGATATCCATATAGGTACATGGTGCTATAAAATTAGTCACCATGTTAACATAACGTACATAATTGTATGTCACACAATCAAAGTAGATGAAATTTGACAGACTAGTATTTAAATAAAATGTTGAAAGTGATATTCCAGTTAAATTGTAGAAAAATGAAACACGATCCATTGATAAGACGTAAAACATGACACATAACGCCGACCTGTCGCCCGAAGACGTTCGGACGCGGAACGTGTCAGGTGTAGCGTGCCAAGTGGTGATTTAAAGAAAAAAAGAATACTTACTCATTTTTTTATAATGATTTCTCTAGACGTTCTGTCTCGCACATTGACTATAAAACAAGACTATAAGAGAAATGAAACGAGTCGAAAACTGACGTTACGACATGATTTGGTCCGTTCGACATGGAAGATTAGGTATATATTATCACTTCGCGGTCGCGTAAAGAATACGAGACGCGTCGCAGGAAACAATAACGATAACGAAGGGAGCGCAAAACGGATGAAATTACAGTGGGACAGAGAGGAGAGAGAAGGAAATACAGTTGAAAAAAAACAGAAGCTCACGCAATACAATCGTCGGTCGATCCTGTGAAATCGCGGCGCACTGCAATAAAAATGATACAGAATAATACGAAAAATATTTAGGTTTCGATAACACGAGGGGAGTGCCTCATCACAACATGGACTACATTAACAGTGGTCACCATGGCGAATGCCAGCAGGTGTCAGCAACCGTGCACAGCCTACGTCATGGCATCCCTTGGTCGTAATCACGAAAACATGGCGTTATCAATTGAGAACGTCGGCGGGGGTGGGAGAAAAAATCCGAACGCCCATTGTGTACACGGGAGAAATAAATGAATTGTAATTTTTCTACGTTTTCGACAACATTCAGCGTTACGGATGAAAATTTCCCGCACGTCCGCAACGATACACAGCTCGGTAACAACAACGATTATTGCTGTGCACAATGGCCGTGTGAAGTGTGCCAGCGTTGAATAAATTAGCGGTCATTTTTTTTCCATGCGATACGCGTGTGATAACGCGCTCCATATCATCGGATCGCGGGTGTCCGAGGCGAATACCGAAATGCCGAAAATCGCCTCGTCGACGGTCCACGGTCGATAGCCTCGCTCATAGATACCTTCCGTTTCAAGTCTTCGCGCACCACTCGTAGACACATGAGGAGTCGTTAGACAGTTCAATACACGACTTATGTGAAACATTAGAACCATTGCCGAGAACGAATCGCGTACGATTCACACGCGTTTACATATTTAAATAAGAAATACATATGTACGTTTTATCAATTACGAACGTGTAAACAACGGTATACTGTACGCGCCATGTTCGACCATTATTCCATTATAATATATTTTATTGCGTTAAGCGTATAACTTATTTTAATATCTTATGAACCTTACATTTGGATAATCTTGGTAGTGAGAACGGTGGACGTAATGTGTTTGCGCGGTTGCCAATTTGAATGCAATTTCGTATTTATTGGAAACAATGATGAAATCGCTTTTTCCTAGTTCGTCGAATATTTTTGAAGCGATGTGATCGTCGCACTATTTATATTAATTTGTTTCTATCATATGATACAGCAGTTGTGATAAGGTTATACTTGTATTTACCGTGGAATTAATAAGCATATCTAAGTGTATCAATATGTATTCAAATATTATATATATTTTTGGAAGTAATTATGAGATTCAGTTTTATTGGTTTTAGACACATTTATACTCTGAATATCATTTTATCGTAAAAAAAAAACTAGGTTAGTTTTTGTGGAAATCTTCGCCTTTTCTGTCAATAAACTCCATCAATCTGCGGTTATTGGGTTCATATTCGCCAGTTGGTGTCTTTATTGTACGTAAAAATTGCACAACGGAAATTGCTTGCATTTCATCGAAGTCTTTAGCGTCCGAATCTGGATTAGACGCCAACATTATTATAAAATTGATTGCTTCTTCCAGATTATCCATAAAATTTATATCGTTGGCCGGAGCGGTTTCGTCCAACCATTTTTCGTATTCATTTTGAGTATCATCTGTTCGTAAAGATTTAAAAATATTGATTTTAAAAAGCATAAATATATTAAGTATAAAATCCATGTATAGTTAAATAAGATTTAAACTATCATATTTGTGAACGCTTTAATGAAATCAAAAGTAATTATCGAATTTGGTAGAACAATTTTGTATATTTAAAAATGTTTTATACAATAAAAGGCCAATGTGTTTAATGTCAAATTATTAATTTCTTAATTTAAAGCTTAATAAATATTAATCAACTAAATAAGATTAAATCATTCTATAATTGGGATTAGATATTCTTGTAATGAATTATACTACTAACAACATTGGCGTCCTCAGGGAGGGGGTAAATGGGACAATCTTCCCCATAGCTTTTTTTTCTTCAAAATTTTGTTATTTATTATTCATATCATTCTAGGAAAATAATTATGTATCATTCTAGGAAAATACATATATGTGAACACATATATGAGGTTCGCCCCTTCTGTAAAAAGGTCCAAGTAAGCTACTGATTAATAACTAAATTTATATACATATATATAACCTACATACATACCAATATATTCGTTCTCAATCAAGAATTTGTCAAACAACGATTCCTGAGATATTTTTGGCAAATTTAAAGTATTAATTGCGGTTATTGTGGGTGCTACTGGGTTTTTGAAAACGTCTTTCTCTACTACATATTTTTGTTTTTCCATATCCTCCACTCTGCTACTGATATTCTTATACTGATCAAACTGGAGTTTTCTGTTCTTTTTCTCTTTCACGTCTAATTTTATTTTTAAGTAGCCACCTGGTCGTGGTGTTGGCCTATAAAAAGATATTTTCAAGTGATTTAAAAAAATAATTTGTTCATTACCAGTACCGGATCTAAGAAATTTGATATCCAGGGTTAATAAAAATGCAACGCCCTCGCATACGTTGAAATACTGGGTACTCGTGTATTCATGAATTTTTTATTTTTCATAAATTTAAAAACGCTCTTACACCAACAGCGCATGGGACATATCCACTTGCCCAACCACCCCCCCTAAATCCGATACTGTTTATTACGTATTGTAATCATAATATTATACTTACATAAAACCCATATCTGCAATTTTCTTATCGTCTCCTTTAGAAGCCATTATAAGTGTGTATAACTTTTGTTTTATTTAAATTAAGAAAATAATATTATGGAGTAAGTACTTGTAATTTAGATCGGGGGAACAACTTTGATGTGTTATACTCTAATATGTTTATTGGTTTCTAACATTCATAGCAATTCGTATTTACTTTATTTGTTGAACCAGTATATATTTTACTTATAATGCATGATAAATATTCTCTTTAACAGTAGCTCTTTTCCAAAAGAACTGGATTGAAAATGATATGTATTATTATTATTAATACATATAATTATCTATTCGCATAACTTGACAACATTGTTGATCAGCTTTGAGTAATCTCAATATAGTAGGTACACATATCATTTATAAGAAATAAATAATTTGAATTCGTTATTTGTGCACTTACGTATAGGTACTACAAATACTACAGTACTGTATGTGCTAATCTTTGAAAGTGATTATATTTTCTCTCGTTTCTCTTATTTAATATACAAGTTTCTTTAGAAAATGTTTAACACCGGGATTAAAAATATTAAGTGGGTACTACTGTCAATATAACGCAATAATCGTTGTACAATTATATACTATTAATTAATATAAAGACACTCGATTAACCGGTTTATGGGTCAACATCCGGCCATGTTTTATTATACTTGTATTATTTATCTGCTCTGTTTCTTTTCTCCGAAAGAACTATTGCCAGTAATATCTGCTTTGTTAACTATCATTAGTGACATGACACGCCTCAACGTCATTATATTTTATACCTACTTATCTTTTATATAATAATAATATGTTGTATTATTAGTTTTCAACGATGATTATCACGTATTATTTAGTTGCTGTGTCTGTTTGCTGTATATTATTACAAAAAACAACATGTGATAATTTAGTTTAGTTTATTCTTTTATGAAATTTGCTTTATCTATTTTCGGTAATCATTCTTACACAATATGTTTACTTACACAATTGTCCGAATTCATATTTTTTTATGTATTATTATGAACACAATCGTAGAATACCTATAAAGAAAAACATGTACTATTATTAATATATGGTTTTACGATTTCTCCTATTTGAATAGTCTCTACTATTTTCTTCGTAGAGATCATACAGATATTTTTGTTTATATAAAATAGCTAATTTCATTCCGTTTACTTTAGTTATTTTAAAAATATAATTATTTTCTGTGAGTACTTAGGATGAATTTTTTAAGTATATTAAGTAGCCTCTTTTTTACCTAAAAACCAGTCAAAGCATTCTTTGTATGAAATGTTAACCCAATACTGATTTGTCCGAAGAATTAAAATATATTTTGACAGTTAAAGTTTGAATATCATAGTATCAAGTGAATAAATTTGATATTTAAAGGTTTATTTGAATTTTTTGTATGCCTAATAAGGAATTTGCCGATGTAGTTCATATTTAATAAATATAGACAAACTTTTCTTATTTTTGACAAAGTGAAACAATATAATTAATACACGAGCTTCAATCGTTTACAGAAATACTTACTTACCAACTTGGTGCTTTTTTAACCGAATATATTTCGTTAATAGGGGTACTGCTGCAATTTAATAGAATTGAATTGATAACTTGAAATTACTTAGAAATTTAATTAAAATAATAAAATATTTTTTAATCCACAAATGTTTAGCATCCTAAATAAAACAACCATAAAATTGGACCAGTTTAACCAAAACAATTTATTCCTGTAATTTCCTAGTTAGATAATTTAAAATATATAATAGAACGTAATAAATTATGTTTTTATTACTATTTGGTGTTTGTTTTTTAATGAAGGACTAGTCTAATTAATAGTAAATGATGAATAATTTTTATAAAAAGACCTTTTTTTGGTTTCTATCGTCTTAGTATAACCAATTATTTTGTATGAATTTTATAATCATTGAAGCCTCTGAAATAATATAATGAAATATTGGTAGCATTCTAGTGAATATAATTACAATAACTTTGCATTGTTTATTGTACTGGATAGATGAATAAATGAATAATAAGAAAGAACTATTTGACCCATCCTGAGTCTTATAACTTGTTTAACATTGTTACGACGACATAAACGTACCACAGTTATTGTGTTTCATCGTGAGTGTTAAAATAATATCTTAAAAATTGTTTCTAAGAGAATTTCATTCATTATTTTAACATTTTACTTACTTTGTGTACTTCATCCGACATGTTTAATATATTAAACTTCATATCTTATTGGTACCTGCGATATTTACTGGTTTCTGAACTGTATTTAGTTGAAAAATGGGAGAGGTGGATGATACGTATCCTTTTTAAATATTTTACTAATTACAGAAAAATATTACTAACTAAAATAGGATTTTTATTTGTAAAATAACTAATAATAATATTATATAAACTTAAAGATAATTTTTTTTTACATAATTGTAAAATATTTATACATTTAAATGTGTACCTACATAATATTTAATACAGATTTAATTTATTAATATTCTTTTATTTTATCTTATTAAACGCAAAGAAAATATAAATATAAAACTTAAAGAAAGTTTACTTTTATTCAATTTAATATAATTAATCTAATACATGAACTTAAAAGTAATAAAAACCAAGTGGATATTATGAGTAGATACCTAGGAAATACAAATCAGTTAAAGTGATAATAGAAGATAATAGGTAGGTACATATTATTTATAATTATCAATTATATATTAATAAATAATATTGTAATCAGAACTATGGGGAATAATTGAGAGCAATAAATCTACTGTTAAACTATTAATAAGGTAAATAAGTATTCAGATATCTATCAGCTATCGGTAATTCATATAGTTTCTAAAATTTATAAAATTATTTTTATTATTTTTTTTTTTTTGAAATATGTAATTTATATCAACATTTAATTATCTAGTTTATCATATTATTTAAATTAGCTTAGTAATATATTATATTATAAGAATAAAATTTAACTCAGTGTCTCAATTTTAAATATTATTTATAATAAATATTTATTTCATTGAATATATTAATATTAGTATTTGTGTAGATATTGTTTAAGGATAGGTTGATATTATCAATTAAGGCTTCCTATATAAATGTAAATATGTATATGAACAAAATAAAAATTTATTAATAAATAATAACCGATCATGAAATGTATGAACATTTCTTTCTATTATTTGTACAATTATTTAAGTACAAATAGTTAAGTATTACTAAATTTGAAGCAATCATTTGAATTTATTACCAAATGCAAAAGCTTAAACTGGGGGTGAGGCGCAAGAGAGATTAACTTCCCCTCTAATAATTTAACGGAGAAATGACCCCTTAGTTTTTATTAAATTAACTATAAAAATATTATAGAAAAGACATTTTAGATTTGTAAGAATTATTTTATCAATAAATATATATATATAATTTTTTGAACTATTAACTACAAAAAAAAAAATGAATGGACTAAACAAAATTTATTTGTTCAAAGGAATTTTTCATTGCAATACATCATAATGCAGAATAAGTATATCTAGTATTTAAGTATACGGTATATCAATATAAAATTATGTTTGTCCCTCTATAAAAATTGCCAAAATTATGCCCATGACCAAATGTAATGTATTTTTTAAATATTTTCCTTAATTTATTCATAAAGATATTATAATGGGAATATTGTTCTTTGGATTATGGTACATCAATAAAGTATTCATCGAATTTGTAACTAATGTAGTACAAAAACCTATTAGTATGTAATACAAAGAATAATGAAATATTATTAAAACAATTTTCAAAAGTTGCATCCATGAAGATAAAAAATTTTGAATGCAAGTATTGATTATTTATATAATATTTTTGTAGTATTATTATTTTTGATAATTTTTAAAATAAAGAAAACATTGAAATTATTTAATTATAATTGTGTATTTATTTAAAATGACAAGCCAGTACAAGCAAGTTCTAAATATTCTAGCATAAAAATAGTTTAACATAATAATATAACAACATTGTTTGGTTAATTAGGTAAATATTGAATGTTAGTATTGTTGTGCGTAAGCAAAACATAAAGTATGTTCTGTAGTGTCGGATAATGTTGTAAGCCTTATGTGATTTATTAGGAAAGATTTTATTGCAATACTTTTATTTATTTATTTTTTTTTAATTAAGTCTTACCATAATTTGTTTAAACTTAAAACTATAAATATTAAACTTTTTAAAAAAAAAAATCCACTTTCAAAACAATAAATGTTCATTCAATAGTAATAAAATAAAAATATACAATAATACTTATTAATAATATTAGATTGTATTGAATTAATAACATACTTTTAGTAAAATTAAAAGAACTCAAGTTCCATATGTTGAGTGTGAGGGTTCAAAACACATCAAGATAATGATTACATTTTAGCAAGTATTTTCGTTTTTATGAAAATACTTTAATTAAGTACTAAATCAATTACACTTAATATAATGGTATAATAATAATAGTATTAGTAGAAAATATGAAAATAAAACGTTATAAAAACAATTTAAGTAGGTATGGATATAATCTAAGCACTAACCATAAATTTTAATTATCTAATAACTTAATTTTAAATATATTTTTGGACGCGACATTGATGTAATTTATGATTTCCGACACTACAGTACTACAAATATCTAATGTTTTTAAGATAATACGCACTTTTAATATTAATATTTAAAATAAAAATATGTTCAAAAAAGTACCTAATGGTTTACATTAATAGGACATGCGTGTAACGTGTTTCAAATCTTCAATGTCAACTAACATGGAATCTTTTGCCATATGTAGTTCGTCTCTTTCTAGTAATAAATTTACTAGACTTTCATTTAAATCTGAAATAATGAACATTTATTAAACTACAACATTATATTGTGTGAGTAACTAGATAATACTCACATTCGATGTAAGAATGTAGATCATTTACAATAACTTGTAACTGTGCCAAATTCAAACGCATTAGAAAATGTCTACTAACACGTCTTCTATCATTATCTAATTTGACTCCAACCTAAGAAATTTGATCAATATATTAACTCAAGTATTTTGGTATAAATTGAATTTTATTATGATATGCATAATATATATACTACTAATTATTTTATTATATGTGCATTAGTAAACGGGTTTTATAAAAACTAAATTTTAATTTAATATATTTAATTTATTTGTACAAATTTAATAACAATTTTAATATGTCTACCTACTAAAAACAAGCAAATTGAATACTAGCTAGTTACAAAATAAATTTATAAATACCATCATAATTATGAAAAAAAAAATACTAATTGTATATACTGAGTTATTTTTTTTTTTGTTATTTTTTTTTGTTGTTTTAATATTTAAGTGAAGTTTACATATTATTTTAGAAAACGATTTAATACAAATTATAAAAAGTATTTTAAATAATACATTGTTTTTTAAAAAAAAAAAAACACATAGTTTTAAAAACTTTGCTTGCTTATCTAGTTTTTAAAAATGGCTTTAACAATTAATTAAATCGTAATAATTAATAACTTACTTTTGAAAGACTCTCTTTAATTACAGCTGAAATTACACAATTTCGCTGATCTGAAATCATGTGTGCTCTAGCTCGATTTTTGGCTAAACTTAAGCCTTGTTTTAGTTCAGCCTAAAATGATTTTGTTATTACACTTTTTATTCTAAGCTTTTTTTTTGTTAGTTATACATACAGAAGATTTAAGTTTCTCATCTTCAGCTGAAATGTCACAATCATTTATTGGCAATTCAGTGTCTGAAGACTGTTCATTCATAAAACATAGTTGAAGATTTGAACCTATAAATCAAATAATATTTTTTATGGGTACCTTATTATAGACACAGAAAAAAATATGGTCAAGACAAATTAAGTTGTCATTAAAATCTTGTTTATATAAATGCGATTTAAATAAGTAATAATTTATAATTATATTAATAATATATTTAATATATATTTAATAAGTAAATTAACTTTAAATGAAATTTATCATCATAAAAAATATACACATTTGTTTTTTTCACCATTTAATGAGTAACTTATTTTATCCAGTAATTTTTAAATTAGATTTAAACTAGTATGTTATATATTTGAAATTTTTACGTATTACAATTTAACATAGTTATATAATAATAATAATATAATATAATATAATAATAACATAATTACATATATATTAACATAATTAATAATGTTTTCTTTTAAGATCATGCTTACCATTTTGTAATCTAGATTCTAAACTTGATTTTTTGGTCGATTTCCTAGTGTTATGGTAACCTTCGACCAAACGTTTACGAATTTCTTCGCGATCGGTTTTTTTCTAAAACAAAATAATCGAATTAATAATTTTTTTATATGAACCCAAAATAAGACTGTACTTCGATTTTTAGATTGTATTGACTATTTGTTTATTAACAATAATATTGTGCGTGAGGGGGGGGGGGGGTTATGACCGTTTACCTTTTTTCGCAGTTCTTACTGTTATACCCAATACAGGTTTTCATAAAAATCGGTAAATTTACTAATAATACATATATTTTTGATTTCAAATGTTTTGTAAAATCAGAATAAACAGTCTAAAATATTATTATATTCTGCGATCATCTCCGAAACAACTACTCGTACCTATAAAGTGCATTCGTGCTATCCTCGCGGATGTATGCCCCCGAACGCAAATGTACCGCGGAGTGTTTTTAATCGCGACAAAACCTCGTGTGAGATTCGAGTTTGTGCCACATAAAAATGCAAATGAATTCGATAATCGAGACGAAACGATTGTTACCAGTTTGTACGTGTTGGTGTCCAAGGACTGCGTGTAATTACTGTTGACCACTCCGAGCTCGTCGATCAACGACATGTCCGTAAACTTGTGGACAAAATCGTTGTCGCCGTAGTGGCTAGTAGGATTCTGGTAAATGAAACAGCCCTTTTCCAGTTCGAAGCATTTGTTGTTGTTGTTCGGATACAAGACGGCGGCCGTTTTCCTGTTGCCGTGGCCGAGCAGCATGCGCTTCGGAGTCTGCGTTTCTTGGTACTCGTTGTCGTGCAGCAGCGACTCTTTCAGGGCTATGCCGTTGAAGTACACGTTTTCTTTGATGTAACGACTGTTCGCCCCACTGGACTTGCCGTAGTATCTGGGTCGCAGTTTTTCTCTGAACGTGGCCACCAGTGACGAATGATCCGACATGGTGCGGGTTGCAGTTGCGTTACGTGAGCTGATCCGTTCGACCGAACACCGTTTCCAAACTCAATAGCGGCCGCGCCGTTTCATTGCGCTCGGGGTTACGTCGCTTCGCCGTTCACGCGTTTCAAACTGTCTACGCGGGCGCCGTCACGTACTGCCCGACGAACCACAACCCTTATCAGTTATCACTGAACGCTTTTTTTTTTTTTTTTTTATATACGTTGTTTTCTCTTTTGTTTACAACGCATGTGTATGATTCTCCGCGTAAGGAACCGACGTGATATCCTACGTTACGTTGTTGCGATCACTGCGTGGCATAAAAACTGCTAAGATGGTGTCACTAATCGCGAGAGCGCGTACGGAGGAGCGAAATAAAAAAACAACGACGTCAGTCGGGCGCCCAAGTGCTGTACTACGCGCTATAGTGTTGATACTAATGCGGCCGCGCGTCGGTTTCCCGGGGATTGCGACCGCGTTTATTGTGATAGGCGTCCCGCCGCCGTTCCTGGGGGTCCAAAAGCCGCACGGTGTTCGACGGGGAAAAAGGCGTGGGAGGGTTATCGATTTTCGAGGGTGGTTGTATCGTGACGCGAGGTTGCGTGCCAGCGCGGCGGACGGATGTTTGTCCGCCCGGCTCGCGTGACCTTCTGCGTTTGCGCGCGTATGCGGCAAATGTCGGCGATTAGTGGTGTGTGTGTGTGTGACGAAATAAATGGGCACCGAATAGTGGTGCAAGCGTCGTGTTGTTGTTTTCTTGACCTGACGGCGCAACGCACAGCCGCATACACGAACCCGGGGCGCAGCGCGAGAAATACGTAACCGCTAAACAGCGACACACACGCACGACCGATATTCCTTCCCTGTGCTCCGGGTAGCCGTCACTTATACGGCCGTCACTTATACGGCCCACCAATAGGTACTACATCCGGTGGGCCGCTCGAGTAGCGGGATAATCCCTTACGGACTTGGTTTCCGGTGCGCGTGCCACGTGTAGGTATGTCGCAACGTCGCGGTCTCCTACGCACGTGTAGGTACCGTACTCTTAATTAACTGTAACTCGCTAATAGGCGGTGAGCAAACGTGTGTTATACCGCGTTTTACGTAGCTCACGCCTGTAACCGAAACCAATCGTATTAGGAAAAAAAAATCTAACCGGGCAATGGCCATGGGTTGTAAAATCGTTTGCGTACGTATCTGTACGGGCTATACTTTAATCGATTAGGCTTATCGTATTATATATATATATATTTTTTTGTAACGATAAATAATTTTTAACAAGTTGTAGGTAGTTTTAATGTATAAGGAAAAAAAAAAGGAAGCAATTAATATCCAAAAATGTATCCTGAAATAAATGTTCTTTCCTAAATGTGTATTGCATTATATGACAATCACTTTAGTTACATTTTCAAAAACTATTAATTGGCGTTTGTCAGTCAACCAATTTTTATACTTCGAAAATAACTTTTCAAAGTAATTTCATTCAGTACAAAAGTAATAGGTACATATTCAAAAAATATTGTATAATTTGGAGATACCTATCAAGATCTTGGCTGGTTTGAAATGGTTCAATTTCACTATTTAAAATTTTTAATATTTTAGTATGAAGTATCTTTCGTTTTTTTATAGTATATTTCTAAATTATTCACAAAGAGATTTACCCCTTATACTACAATACCTAGTAAATATATCAAAAATGTTTAAAAAAAAAACAAAAACCATCGTAATATGCATTAAAAGATGAAATATGTAATTAAAATCGTAAAATGAGCCCTTTAAAATGAATGGGTAAATATTGAAATATGCGAAAATATGTAGGTTCTAAAAAAGTTTACTTTTTTAAATCATTTAAATGTTTGAAATAAATGTTGTGTTAATTTAGAATAGTATACGACTAACGAGAATAAATATGTAAATGCATATAAATCCATGCTTTAGTAATAACTACTGGAAGTTCTACGCGCAAAATCTTTAAATTATAACGCGTATTTACTTATTATTTGTTACCAATCACTTATACATAAGGGGACCATATAAAATTGTTCTAGGAAAAAAAATCTTCATAATTTTGGTTATAAACAAATTTTTTTAAATTTAATTATTGTTAACAATATTACGTACTATTATGGTTTTAAGGAACAAAAAAATTAAACGAATCAATTACACTTATTAATAAGTTACTTATTATTATTACAAATAACTTTTTTTGTATATAAGAAAAAGCATCTACGTAAAGAAAACGGTCGTTTACTGTAATTTTGAAAAAATTAACAATGAAAATAATTTGGTAATTTTGAGTTCACGCTGATATTGCGGAGTTTCTATATTAAGTTAATACCTCCGTTAATATACCGAATGTAACACAATAGTTATTTTTACATTTTATTAGTGTCATTATCAATAAATTAAAATTTATTATCGTTATTTGTTATTACTTTTTGAATAAGGGTGTGTTTTAGTGAGCTCCATTTCGCTAACATGTACTTTTGCGATTTTTTATTTTTGCAATATATGTTATTTTGCGGATAATTCGCGTGATTTTGAGGACATATTTCTGATTTTTGCGGACAACTAGTTTTTTAGCAAATCCAAAAAAACGGTTGACACACTGGTGAAATGTTGCAAAAATTAAAAAAAACCACTTAATTCACTTTTTAGTATTCCATCATTTTGCGGATAATTTGCGTTATTTCGCAGACGTATTTCCGATTTTTGTGGGCAATTAAATTTTTTGCAATTCAAAATAAAATAAATTATATAGGTAAGTACCTACTGAACTTGATATAGTTTTTAAAAGCTTTGACGTTCTAAAACAAAAACCATTATCGGAAGAAACAAATTTTGATGCAGATAATTTGATAAAATCACGTAAACGTTTTTATTTCATTTTAATACTTACTGTTTGGGAAAAATTCTCAATGCAATCGACAGGATCAATATAATTTTACAAAAACCAAAACTAATAATTTAATGTAGCAGTCAAAGAATCTGCGAAGCCTCTTCAAAATGTTACAAAATATTCAAGAGTAATATATAAATGAGACTTTATCCGATTCAAAGAATAAAGCTGAAACATTAGGCATTTAGACAGAATTTCCAAAAGTCAGGTTACGAAAATAGAAACAGTTATCCGGAGAAATTAGAGAAGATGAGTTTTGTAACGTAAGTGAAGAAAATAAATTTTTAATAACCATGAAAATGTTATTGACAATTATTGTATAGGACTAAGTCAAAGATTTAAATTTATGGAAAATATCACTTAAGGTTTTTAATTTTTAGTTTAGTGAAAACTATTTCCATAAGAAAATTGTAAATAATTATTAAAAAATTCAATTTTAATATAATTAATATATTGATTTCATGATTAATAATGTTCTTAAATGTTAAAATGTAAATCAAATATTATTTCATAATAAAAACTAGAGTAATATTATAATCTAAATTGTTGCTAAATATTTATGTATTTTATTTTAGATAAATTATTTTATCAAGGTGGTAAAAGTGGTGATGAGAATTTGTTATATGTAGTAGAAGTAGTATTTGATGATGTAGTTATCAGTTTGGAAAGCATACCAAAAAGAATAAAAATTATGAATGAATTTTTCATATTACGTGGAGCTGCTGTATTTATTGGAACCAAAATTGCTGAAAGGACAGCTATTGGTCATTATGTAGCAGTTTCACTAAGAAATGACGGACATTGGGAAGAGTATGATGATTTTAAACACAAACCAGTACCTATACCAGAACAAACAAAATACGGTGTACAAATTCTTTTACGCAATAAAGAAAATTAAGTATATCAAATATTAACGTTCGAAAATGTGCTATTTTCAAAAATATTTAATTTCAATTTTAAAGGTGAAAAGATTATTCATATACAGTATATTGCATATGATTTAATATGATTAAAATAATAAAAAGTTAAAAAAACTATTTATTTATTTCATGATTAATAGGTTTAATCGGTTTAATCATATTAAAAAAATAATAATAATCGTATATTCATATTGAGTACGATTATGAAATAAAAAATGTGGAAGTACTAATTAATGCAATCAATTTTTTTTAAAAGGATAGATAATTTATATTTTTCTCATAGGTATAAATATATATATATATCATTTAATTAATAGTTTTAATGTAAATATTTGAACAAACTGAAAAAATTATTATGCAGGTTAGATGTCATGATAAATGATAATAATATTTTAAAAAAATAAAAATGAAGCAGGTACCTACCTAATTAGTTTTATAAATTATTTTATTTTGAATTGCAAAAATAGTGATTTTTTTAAAATTTTTGCAACATTTCACCAGTATGTCAAACTTTTTTTGGATTTGCTAAAAAAACTAGTTTTCCGCAAAAGTCAGAAATACGTCCGAAAAATCATGCAAATTAGCCACAAAATGATGGTATACTAAAAAATGAAGTAAGTGGTTTTTTTTTCAATTTTCGTTACATTTCACCAGTATGTCAACCTGTTTTTTTTTGGATTTGCTAAAAAAACTAGTCCGCAAAAATCAGAAATACGTCCGTAAAATAACATATATTGCAAAAATAAAAAAATCGCAAAAGTACATACTAGCGAAATGGAGCTGTTTTAGTGTCTCTAAGTTCTCCAGGGGAAAACGCCACAAAAATACGAAAAGAGGGACTGTCCCGTTTAAAAAGGGACGTATGGTCACCTTACTAATACCTATCTAACTTATTAATTATTATCATTGTTATATTGTAGATTGTTATATGCATTTTGAAGAAATATAAGTACGAATAGCAATTAATTTGATAAATTATACTTGTGTTTACTATGCGCGTTAAACATACTAATTTATTACTATTTTATAATAATAAAATGAATTTTTTATTTTGTCGACGACCGTGGCAACGAACCAGAACGACGTATACAATTATATACCGCATAACGTATACGATACGACGATTTCTATCGACAGTAGTTCGTATTATAATCTCAAGTAACCGATTAAAATCAGACTATTACGTCAAAATGACTGGTAACTTGCTTCATGAAATACCTATCTTTTTTAAAAATATGAAATAATTTTACTCACGTTCTTTGTATGCTAAATTTTTTGCGACTTTCAAATTATTGTTATTTGATTGTAACAATATTGTAATGTATATTATGATCTTAATAATCAAAGTGAAAATGCATCAGAAGGAGATGCATAAACAATTGCTAAATTAAATGTTTTTCAATAATTTAAAATTAATAATAAATATTATACAGGTACAATTATTATCGTATACATTATCCATTTTTAATTTATTCCTTCTCTATATTTTTGGGAATCGCTCCTTTCTAAAACCGATTGTTAGAATTGAGAATCAAGATGCTATTTCACATGAATTAATGTTTGTGATGACAGACACTCACAATATTATCAACGTGATTAATGTATAGAAGATTTTAACATAATATATTATGTATTACTAAACATATTATATAGCGATATATTTTGCTTAACTTACACTCTTAATAATTGCGTTATTAAGTATATCGCTGTCAGTTATTCCATTAAATAAATATAAACTGTTAGTATAGGTTTATGACATGTATTGTTTCATGTTTATAATTGAAATTATTAAATACTCTACTGTTATTTTGTAAACTAATTAGGTAATAAATTTCATATGATATTCATTTTATTTCATAGTTATTATTTATTAAATGCAATTTTATATAACTGGTAAACTCATTCAATTACATAAATTATGATTACATTAGATGTGGTTAATGTTCAACAAACCGAAAATTTCTTATTGTAATTAATTAACTATTAAGTTTTTTTTTTTTTGAGATAGCACAACAACAATCCGGGAAATAAAATTTCTGTATTTTTTACTTGCTTGAAGTTGAAATGCGTACCACCTCGGACGAAATATTATGAACAACAAACATGTCCATGAATTATTTTGAATCGCATTAGATGTAAAATTTATACTTTTTGTAATTCATAATTAATCATAATCCATTCTAGTAAAAACGCATATAAATTAATCAAATAGGTTTTAGTTATCGTACTTGATTATTTTTTACTGAATTAAAAATATCGAATTTGAAGTCCAACTGGTTCCAGATGACTATACTAGCATAGATTCCTAAAGAGTGGAATAGTTTTATAAAACCAAATTTTGGTTGCTGCATGTAACAACGTGAACTTGCGGTTCCTTACATTTTATTAATATTCGTCAAGGATGAGAAATCTTTTATAGAAACGGCATATATATACTGAAATTAAGGACCTTCATCTAGAGTCTTCTAAAATTGATTACACTCCTTGATTTGTTTAGATATACGTCCTTGTAAATAATATATAATTTAGGTACAAATCGCATCAGTTTTACATAGAAGGTTGATATTATTAAATTGATAACAATTAACTATAGTTTTGATTGTCATAAATTAAGGCACACAGCGATATAAAAAAATGTATAGTTATTTTATTCGAACGTGGTTACAAATAACTGTGTTTGAAAATTTTAAATTTAACTGATGTTTTAATGATTTTACATTGATGCTTTAAATAATGTATGATTATATTTAAGTAAACAGCTATATTAAATGTCTGTGTTGAGTATCGAAATAACATAAATCAATAATTATTCAACGTAATTTGTTATTACTTACTGTTATAATATAATTTTGTGAATAAATAAAAGACTTATATCTACTCCGGATCTTATAAATATGTATAAAAATAAGTAAACTTCCAAATTGATTAAATTTTATTTTGTTTTTAATTGTTAACTAATTTGCATACTTAATTATTCAAAATAAATCATGTTTCGGGGTGCTTACGCTTGAGACTAATTTTTTATGATACTGAATATATTAATAAAATGTCCATATTTATTACGTGTTATGATGTTTCCACTATATGAAAAATCATCGATAATCTGCTATTAAAACACCTTGAATAATAATTATTTTTATTTAAAGATTTTATTACTTTGATATTATTATTATCTTATTAATTTAACGGTAAACAAAAACATATAGGCACTACTAATACAAGACGAATATTTATATTACACGTTTTACACATATATTTAAAAATGCGGATTGATCAACTTATATGTATGTATACAACATTTCAGAAAGAAACAATTATTTGATTTCAAATTGTACAAAGATCCTAATGTATAAAAACCTAATTTCAATATTGGTAGAAGGTATTCTGTTCATTTTCTGTATAGGTATTTTATACACGTTCTTAGTTGCTTTTAAAGGTAAGTAAAAAATATATAAGTAATTGTTTTAGAAATATATTTTTTAGCACTTAATATATTTTTATAAATAAAAAGCCACCAATTTATTATAAAAATTAAGTATAAAGTATTAGATATGTAATTGTTTTATTTAAATTAATATTATTGGTATTTAGTTTAATTTTAAAACCTCTGAAGTAAAATATTGTATCAAGACTGTTTTCAAAATTATTAATGATGTGGTATATTAACCAAAATACTATATTTATGTTAGTAAATTATAATAATATAAACTAAAAGATAAATATGGTTATTTGTTGTTTCTATTTATTATTTACTAATAATAAGTGTACAAGTAATCATTATATTATTAGATATAATGAAGATATTTAGGAGAATAGGCATAACATTTAAGCTCCAGAAAAAACGATTTTTTGTCATAGAAATAGATATAAATTACAACGATATCAATATATATATATATATATATATATATATATAGATATAAGATATTTATAATTATTAATACAGCACATAACTCTATGGCAACTTTTTTTTTTTATCAACTGTGCCATTCGTTTTTATGTTGATTTTCAAATACATACAAAATGTCAGTGAATTTAAAATCAGTAATTATTTTTAAATATTTAGTTTCCGAAAATCATTTACATATATACATATTTAGTGCGTACATTTATGTTATGTACGAGTAAGTAATACATATATTGATGTACAGAATATGGATGTCTGAATACAATGGACTACATGAGTCGATTAAACGACTACACATATATGCTGTGTGCAGCATAAATTATTATTGGTACCTATGGTAAACATTTAATAAAGTTAAATATGAAAAACTTACATTATTGTTAAGAACACCATGACAGTCTAGACTCTCATGAGAATCATAAGTCAAAGTGTACAAATCCATTACAAATCTTGAGTCTTTTTTGTAATGCCTTTGGTCGTATCGAAAACTTGATGGGCTCGTAGACCACGGATTTACCAACATACTTGTAGCCATATTTATGATAATATAATATCTTTTAAATTGATAATGTGAACTCTGAAAATCGATTGAACATAAAATAAATATGTTAACACAAATAAAATCAGAATGTACTGCCTAAATATAAATATACTATTAAATGTCTTAACGTTACGATTGTTTGTATCGCACTGATGTGTATTTAGAATGAACTGCGTACAATACAACTGTTGCCGCTGAAGTGAAAGTGCGAATAAAAAAAAAAACCAGAACTAATCGAAATGTCCTTCTAGAATAGTGACTACCGTTGCACGTGGCAATCTCAAATAATAACAAAAATATAATTAACGGAGAAAGAATAAGGAAACCATAATAATAACTTTTAGTAACCACAATAAATATCCAAACACAATACACATTTTTCGACCACTAATATACAATACATATTATAAACTCGCTTTCAAACTTCATTTTTTTCTACCATTAAAAATATATTTTGTTTTATTAAGTGTATTGTGTATTATATGAGTATTACATACAATAAAATAACTAACCTATGTACCAGATTCACAGCAGTTCAAACTGTATAACTGTTCAATATTATCATCGGATACAACTTAATTAAATATCGAAAAACGGAAAGAGTGTATAATGTAAATTAATCGATGATTGCAGAAACGTCA